AAGAATCTTCAAAACCTACCAAACTAAGTTTGGATTAGCGTAACACTCCCAAAATACTTTTTGAAGTTTTTGGAGAGTATTAATCCACACTATTTTTTCCAGATATTTTTGGACTACCAGAGAGTGTCATCAAACATAGCTGGCTGGATACCCATCCAATCTCTCTACTTAAATGCTGGCGGTCATAGGACCATTTATATATAGCTGGGAACATCATTGAACTATAGCTGGGAGGATTTTCCAGCAAGCCATGTGACTGATGACACCAGAGTGTATATAATGGGTTGCCTTTCTGTGGTAAACGCCATGAACCAACCATCCCATTCACCAAGCATGACGACATGATCCCAGTCATGGGGGGATAGCATGGTATACCCAATAAACCTCCACTGGGGATGGTAAAGCATCCAAGCCATTCCACAAACATATTCCTCAGCAACGATCCGAGGTTTACAGGATGATTGCTGGCTAACTTATGGATATCATATACAGTAATATACACATACATTGATATCGTATCTCCACACTATTATATCTATACATACCATCTGGTTTATTTAACATAGCCATGGTATAGATGGCCCATAGAAATAGATGGTTCACCTATTAAACATGGTGATTTTCCATGGCGAACTGTTAAATAACCAGATGGTAATCATCAACAAACACCATTGTGGGTCTATCTGTAGTTGGTGTGTCATCAATTAAGATGAGGATTGATATCGTATCTCCATACTATTATATCTACATATATGTTACCATCTGGTTATTTAACATAGCCATGGAAAGATCCACCATTTTTAATAGGTAAAAAATCTATTTCTATGGGCCATCTATACCATGGCTATGTTAAATAACCAGAGGCTATATGTTAGATTATTCCATAGATCACCTTAATTGTTTCACCGGCTCCAAAGCATCTCGGTTCCCCGGCGGAGCGGCGGAAGGACCTCAACAACGCTGGCGATCGGCTGGGTTTCACAGGTTTTTTTCGACCCATTTTTGCCCAAGAAAATGTGAATGTTGCCAAAATATGTCAAAAACAAGTGCAATGTTGCCAAATGTTCTTAAAGACTTAGTAGTTCTCTTGGTTGCAATGTGTCATGTTGGCACCAAGCCAACATAGTGCTGCAGTTTCATGCAAAATCCACCAGTTTTTCTGGGTCTTTGAGCATCCCGGCAGATCAGAAACTTTAAATTGGCGACCTCTTCTGGTTTTTCGATGGGCAACATGATCTGCGGCATCGCAAAGCATGGCGCATCGCGGCATATATAAAGATCTGGGGATTCGGCGGCCAGTCAGTAGCTGATCATCTGAAATACACTGTGGATAGGGACAGTACCCTCTGGTAAACATATAAAAAACTATGGAAAACGATGGAAAATCACCATTTTTGATGGGTAAATCCACTATTTCAATGGCAATGTTCAATAGCTTTTTGTATGTTTACCAGAGGGTACTGGTTCCGACTGGTTAGTCTCTCGGCAGCTCTCCGATTATCCGAGAACTCCTGTCTGGAATCGCCAGAAATTGCACCCAACGATGAAATAAGACCAAATCTATCTAGTAATCCCCCCCAAAACAACATAGAACAGTTTCAGTTTCAATGATGTTGACTGTAATGAATGTGATACTGTATCACTATTTCCGGGATTTACCAACTTCAATCTGCTTTTCATGGATCCAAGCCTGACGAACCTGCAACATCCAGGCACGGCCATACCTTGGACCGTAGCAATGCCTGGAATACATGGACGACCTGTACTGTAATGATTGTACCCTCTGGTAAACGTACAAAAAGCTATTGAAAATTGCCATTGAAATAGTGGATTTACCCATTAAAAATGGTGATTTTCCATAGTTACGTAAACGTTTACCAGAGGGTAATGGTCCCGGAGAGTTCCTGAAAGTGGACCCGGGTTTCAAACCCAAATCGGGATAACATGGCTCATCATGACATATCATGACATCAGCCCGACATTGATAGGGTCAACTAAGCAGGTAGAACTCCTGCTAAATCCTCGGAATATCATCCCCAACTTGGCAGATCTTGGAAGAATTGTTACCAAGAAACGAGGGACTTCGACCCGTGAAAATGGGGGAGGTGACATGACATCACTGATTTTCGGTTTTGAATGGTTTTGACCCATCTGGATAATATTAATCACGATATTGGGATCATCAGATAAATACACACAGCTAAAAGTGGATTCTTCAGACATGTTCAGGCTACAAAAACTCAGGAAACAAGCTAAACAAGCCACCAAAATCAGGATGTCACTCTATTGACCCTGATCCAACTCAAGATTCCACTTTGAATTCGAATCAAAATCATATCAGATCACAGCTTTCTCATCGCAACTCTGGGATGAGGATGCCCCTAGGCCTCCCACTGTTGCTCTTCCAAGTTAAAGATGCCCGTGTCAAAGGGCGTGTCATCCTGGGTCTCAGCACATGTTTCAGAGGTCAAGACATGTCAAGACCTGGTTTTGGGGTTTTCCGGAGGGCCTGGCCTAGGGTTACTGTTGCCATGTGATCAACAGCCTGCCTTTGCTCATGTTTCGCGAATTGCTTCCCATTTCTTCTCAAGATTTCTCAAGTTTCCTGTTGCCAGCTGATCGTGAGATTGCCTTGTCGCATCCACATGCCAGTGAGGTTCGGATCATGTGCGAACCACTGGAAGATGTCCATCCACACACATATCTAAATTCCACAAAGTAAAGCGTTTTCATTCGAGTTCAACCATGCTCTATTCTCTTCAACCGATGTCCAGTTGGCGAGACTCAGCGTGCGACGATTCCCCATGGATCGTTCACAGAGAGGGGGTCCACTGGTGCCTTTGCTCTATGCTCCATGGAATGCTCTTCTGTTCACACGAAAAGAGCTGAGAATTGTGGATGTTCTTCCCCCCAGCCATATGTTATGAACATGTATGAAACATAGCTTTGGATCCATCGCCTAAATGGGTATCCTCCGGTGTCATCAAACATGGCTGGCTGGAAAATCCACCCTTTATAATCATGAAAATAATCGTTTATAGATGAGTTTCCCAGTAACACCTCCATTTTTACATGGGGCTTCCCCGCTTGACATGTTTGATGACCGGGGGTGCAAACTCAAGGCATGTGCCAGCCGTTGATGTCTCAACACCAGGGGCCCCTGGCTCATTCTCGTGGTATCCCTGAAGACATCGTTAGATTGGGTAGTTTACAAATAACCTCCAGCTGAGATCATTCAACTTCTAACGATCATTTCCTCAGGATCAAACCCAATCCTCCTCATACTCCATGCTACCTGCGAAGCAGCAGATTCAAAAATGGGGAACGAACAGGCTCAGGCTGGTCCAAACTCGGGAAACTCTGAGTTTATCCGATCCTGGCCCATTTCGCCGGTTTCGATATTCCGGCCATATCATGTCAATGGTCCATTGCAAAACTGTGCAAAACCGCCGGTTTAAGCGCCATTTGAAGCAATTCAATGCCCATGAATCCTGATCAATTGATCAATCCATTTTTTTTTGGCTAAGATCCCAATATCTTCATTCATGGCATGTGTCCACATGTTCATGGATTTCTCCTGATTTCTCCACAATGCATCCCATTTAGGTTGTCTGAACATGGAACCCCCCATTCCATAACTGAGGTAGGTGTACAACCCATCTTCAGACTAATCCACACACACACACATCAAATATTAAATATCATGATTCATCCTCAAAACCACACAAATTATCCAAAGTTTCATGGTTTGTTTTTATAGATTTGTGGTTTTGAGGACTATATCACTTGGATAATATCAATGGTGTTCAAATAAACCATATTTATTTATTGTTCCAAATATCAAATTATCACTTGTTCATGGATTTCCCCTAGTTTATCCCATTTTTTATGGCTTAAACCATCCTATCCTCACATCTCTCGTTGAAAAGTCTTCAAAAGGGTTGCCTCCACCGGCCGCGCTCAGTGTGCGCGGGAAGAACCAGCTTCTCGAGCCGTGCGGGGTTCATCCCGGAGCTTTTGAGGAAACATCCCAACCCAAAAATTGTTGCAAACTGGTTGTTGAACATCCTACTGTATGATGTTTATGGTTGGATATGCTTGGATCAATTAGTTGATTAAGATTGATTAAGACATTTATTGGACCCTACTTAACATGCTTAATCCAAGCCATGATTCGATCATGGAGGAATACCACCTATAATGGGGATATCAATGGGTTTGACCAACAAATATATGGTGATCTCATCGGGATATGATGGGTATAACGGTATAATCCATCCATTGAACGGAAAAAACATCAACATCTACATGGTTTTCTGGTGAAGTCATTAGGGCCCAAAAAAGGGATGGCAACCATGATTTCAACCATGTCCTGGGTATCTGTTGATCAGTAGGATACCCCCAGATTCATGGTCACTTCCGCTGCAAAAGTCGCGCAGCGAAGCGAGATTTTCTGCTGTCTGGCTGGGGTATGAAAGAGTGCTGAGAAAAGCAATCTGCGCAGCTTGGTCCCATCTGATGAATTGCTCCAGCAGGGGATCAGCTTAGCTGAAAATTGGGCAAAACAGCTACCATCTACCAATATCCAGGGGCGACAGACGGCTGACGCTTGAAATCGACCGCCAAGATCTACCACTTTTTCACCAGGCATCAACCACCCAATGGTGCTGATGCCATGGCATGAAACCCTACATATCGATACACGCCAGTGACACCGCAGTGCGGCAGTGTGGCTAACCGGACTCCCCAATACTCGGGGACAGTCTTTGTTGCTTGTTATCTGTTGCCTGTGCTAAATGCTGACCAATGTTGATTTTTCCTCACTCGTCTTGGTTGACTGTTCATGTGTAAAAATCCATAAATCTCATTTAGGTCAGGTCTGTTCAACCAAGAAAAAATCAGATCAAACTATAACAAGCCAAGAAAATCTAGATCTATCCAGTGACAAAAGATGGCTTTGATGAACTTTCTCCAAGTGATGTGAAAAAACCTTCCCCGGCTCACTTCTTCGCCAAGAACTGCCAGGTGGGAATGACCTGGTCGAAAAAATTGTTCACCGAGGGATGGGTGAGCTGACTGTCAAAATGACTGGGATTTTTTCCGTGGTATACCTCTACTAATTGGTGGTATACCTACCCCCCTGAAAAATATTAGTCAAATGGGATTATTGTTCCCAATATATGGAAACATAAAATTCATGTTCCAAACCACCAACCAGCTCTAGGTGTCTATATGGTTTTCATCTACCTCCCCTGTATAAAAAATGGTTTTTATATCTAGTTGGTGGTTTAAACCCTACCCCTCTGAAAAATGATGGAGTGAGTTCGTCAGATTGGATCATCATCCCAACGACATTGGGGAAGTCATTCAAAATTCCATGGTTCCAAACCACCAATCAGTGGTTATTAACCATTATTAACCATCATTAACCTTCATTAACCATCATTAACCATCATTAACCATCATTATCCCATACATTTCACCAATGTTCCAGTCACCACCAACCAGATATGGTATGTATGGTATTTGGCTGGGCTGTTCATCTCCCCGGAACCATTTCTTGGAATTTCTATGTATTGATCCATAGCCATGTGCCTTAAAAATTAGGCACTATACGACAAATATAGAACTAATCACACTGATGGCATGAATCACATAAAAGATAACTCACCAAAAAGTCCATTACTTGAAAAGTTAACCGAAGATCCGAAGATATCTTCAAATCAAATCAGCATATCATGCAACCAATTTGCAACCAATGACTGGCTTATGTTCTAACCTCACCGAAAAAAGGAACGAGTCACTTGAGTTTAGTTGAGCAAAGCTGTCAATATGATCCATGGGCTGACTCTGATTCTTACAAAATCCACAGCAAATGGACATGTTCCCCATCCCTGAATTATTGAGACTCTTCACAAAATGGTGATTTGCAATTTCAATCCACACACATAAACATACAATAAACTATGAACAATTCCCACTCTCCACAAACTCCGGTTCCACCTTCGGTGACCCCACCATCTCCCACCATCTCCGAGCTGCCGAGTCAGGGTTCAGCGACACGGAGTCGATGCCCTGCTCCATGAGCCACTTCGCCAGGTCCGGATGATCCGAGGGACCCTGGCCGCAGATGCCCACGTACCTGAGTTGATGAACCGTTCATGAACTTCGCTCGGAGTTTTTTGGTGCTGGGTCAGAAAAACCCTCCGGTAAAATACATGTTACATAGCTATTGAAAATTGCCCATTCATAGTTGATTTACCCATTAAAAATGAAGATTTTCCATAGTTATGTTAGTTTACTATAGGGTAAGCTCATGGCAGTTTAGATGAAATATGAATTTCATATGAAATTCTTGCACAATTCACTTGTATTGATAGTCACTACAAACCGCCCTGATGGCCCACGGCTGGCCCCTGGGTGGCCCCTGGGTGGCCCCACTTGCCCTTGGCCTTTGCCGCCTTGATCAACGTCTCCAAGCCCTTCATCACTGCAGGGTTTCGCTCATCGAAGTACTGGGCCACGAGCCCTGGCCGCCAGGCCCAGAAAACACACTTCGCCAAGCTGCTTGGAGTATCTGCTGGTTTCCATATGAATGGAAATTCCCATATTAAAAGTGAGAGGAACCTCCCCTTTCATGTTAAAATCAGCTGGAAATTCATATCAAAATGGATGATTTGAACTGTACCCCCAAATCCAGTGGGTTGATGGGCATTTTCCCATTGAAATTCATTGCCGGGGCATCCATGGCTGTGGTGGTGAAAGAATCCCTTTCCGGAGACCCTCCGGTAAACCAAAAACGAACATTTAAGGAACATCACTAGATTTTAAGTTCGGAAAATATAGGTCAATTGAGTCAATCATCCATTTTTATAGGTCATTTTTATGTTCCATGACGTGACCAACGAGGCCACCTGAATCTCTATCCAAGCCCAAGGTGAGCTGAGTGAGGTCGTTGCTACCAATGGAGAAGCCGTCCTCGAATCCAACTGGCTGAAAAATGAGGCAAAAACATCGCTTTTGTAAGGACATTTACGGTAAAATGATCAGAAAAATCGAGGTAGTTCACTGTCGGAAGTGAAGTTCTACGTTTTACTTATATCATCTTATATCATTGTACGGTGATTCATCGCTTGTTCGAAGCTATGCCGCTGATTTTCAGCTTTTCCTCAGTGTCTCAGTTCGGGGGCTTCAGGAGAATCACCGATTCCACGTAAACATGTCCGCAACTTTGAACGGCATGACTAAAAAAGCGGTATTAGGCTTGTCAAAAAGGGCACAAAACTAGATTGAATACGAAACATAACAAGGACTAGTTGTATCTAGTTGTGGTTCTTGTGGATTTGCAAACAGGACGCAGTGATATTCAGCATATTTGGATAGCTGGTCATTTTGAAACGACAAACCAGAAGCAGAACATCCAGTTTTCCTTGACCTGATCAGCAAGATCACCCTAGAACATCTGGATTTCCCCACAACCATCCACCTATTTGGATTTGGATTTTCCCATGGATTTTCCCATATGTTCTTTTTTCACCCCAACCCCCAACAGGTCAGATCATCCCAAGTGGCGAAGTACTCCAGGAACTCCTCCGCCAAAAAGACGTTGCTGGGCAGCTCTGCCATCATGTTCACCTGCTCGTCGATGGGTCGGCATCATTGGGATAGCCCGGTCAGACATCACCAAGACAGCGGGTTTTTTTAAATGGGGTCGAACCATGCTAGGAATATACAATCAAAGACTCTGTTTACAATGCATCTATTCTTTTTGGTTTTTATTTCTGGATAAACATTGGACTGTTTTTTCCAAGATTGGTGAATCATGGGCACCAACTTTTTTTGCCACAAACATGTGGATTTTATCAGCACCAACATCTGGATGTCATCAACAAACCAGCCTAAAAATCATAGCAATCGCGCAACAATCAGAGACTGTCATTCTTTGGAGAAGTTTTGATAGACTTTTTTTTCAAGCTATCTTCTGTAGAGGTGGCCCAAGAAACGCCTTTCTGGCCATCTCAGGAGTTTTTCAGATGAGCAGCTACCCCCTAATTTGATGCTTAAGACAGTATCAGATCTGGTTGGTGGTGGAATAACCATCTTGAAAAATGATGGAGTTCGTCAATGGGTTTCGGATGACATCCCATATATTAATTATGTAACATAGAATTCATGTTCCAAACCACCAACCAGAGTTCTGTATCATATTCCCATTCTTGTTGGTTTATAGCCTATAAACCACTTTTAATAGACCATATCTATAGTTGGTTCATGTTCCAAACCACCAATCAGTGGTTATTAACCATCATTAACCACCATTAACCATCATTAACCATCATTAACCATCATTAACCATCATTAACCATCATTAACCATCATTAACCATCATTATCCGATACTAAACCAATGTTCCAAACCACCAACCAGAGTTCTGTATCATTTCTCATCATTTTCCCATGAAAAACACGTGAAACCACCTGGCCCACCTTAAGGCCATCCTCACCGCGCTTCAGGCCATTCTTCTCCTATGGCCATCGAGATAAACGGGGACGCGACTTATTCGGGGAGGATTTCTAGCCAGAAAAATCCATGATCAATAGATGATTCATAGAAATCATTGATTTTATAGATGATATAAAATAGATTAAATAGATGATTCAAGAATGTTTCAACAAGTCATCTATTTGAGCAATATCCTGGATCTTTCAATGACTTGTTAAAACCAGCAAAGTAATAGAAAAAGATCGTCAGATAATCCAATCCCATTACAATTAACCTTTGGTCTGCTTCCAGAAACCCGCACAGCAAGGATACAAAAAGGGAGCCCCGCACAGCAAGTGATCCAGTCCCAAGGATACCAACCTCCACCACTGGGTCCAAGGCACCAGCACTTCATTGACGTCCTTGGCCATGTCCAAGGTGCGAACGAAGGGAATCATGATCTCCACATTCTTCAGACCCATCTCTCCACGGACCATCTTCACTGCCTTTTTGGGGCACATTGCATGTAATTGCTGGATAGCTGATGGAGGGCTATAAAAATGGAAACTGTTTTTTTTTGGGGGGGACATGTGTCTGTATATTATCATATAGGCACAGGATACTAAGTACTAATGCCATACTTGATGTATGTGATATATATTTATATTATGAATAAAAGTAGCTTGGCAGCTTCAGGTGCCCCATGTTCCAACAGAACTATAGAAGCATGGCTTAGAATCTTCAACATTCGATATAAGTACTGCAAGAGTTCATGTGGTACAAAGATGTACAAAGAACATTTTGTGGGAAGGATAGGATAGTTGGCGGTAACTTCGCAGCAGTCTGAACTGGGCACCAGTCATGATACCTGTAACTTGGGAAAGGGTTTTTTGAGGATGCCCTGATTTTGAACCAATGGAACACAATGGAAATCAATGGTTTTGGTGAATCCCATTCCAAGTGAAATGATTTGAACCAGGGGTGAAAACAGTCTCACTTTCCATGATCTGACGATTTTACTATTTTTACTGTTGAAATGCCATGGCCAAATTGAAACTTTTGTCCCGCCATCTTTGCAGGGTGTTTGTCATTGCTGGTCCTAGAAGCGGCAACATCAAGACAGCCCAAAAGCAGAATGTGTCAGGGCGTTCCACTTGAGCAATGAATATCATGAATTGTTTTTTCCCAACATTTCCCAACGCAGAACATCATTTTTCAGTCATCAGATGATCAGCTCTGTGATTTGGTGAGAGCCATTCCACACCAGGACCGCCAGGTAAATTGCTTCAGCCATCGCCGCACCTCCAGCTCCATGGCGAAGCATTCCTCGAAGAAGGGATCCGTGTACCGTCCGCAGCCGCGGAAACCGATCATGGGATTCTCCTCGTCGGGCTCGTACTGCTCGCCACCAATCAGGCTCTTGTACCTGCATGCGGCCAGGTTATAGACGTTGTCATGGCACTGGGTGATTTTCCCATTAAAACATATTAAAACTATCCGTTTATAGCAGATTTCCAGAATTGCGATGCTTTTTGCCGCAATTTCCCCCAGTTCACAGATTGAAGATCGTCATTTCGGTTACTGCAGTCCACATTTAATTCACGAAGCATGGCCCGACACCGCCTGACTATATTTCGCGGTTTATGAATCCTGACAATGAATTGGACTTTTCCTCAAGTTTCCATGGTTAGTATAGATTAATAAACATATATAACCATTCAAAACCAGGAAGTAAAAAAACAAATCAACATTGCTAAAGAGTCATCAATAGTTGGCATCTCCCCAATTTTCATTGCTCCCAACAGTCCCAACATCAACGGTAGTGACTAGCCACTCGTTGGACTTGAAGTCGGACAATCGCACGATGATGCGCTTGGGATACACCGAAGCTGCCAGGGTGGCCACGCCCTCTGCAATCTTCTTCACGTAGAAGTCCTGCGTTGGACTCTGTGGGTTGTCCCTTGAAATGTACACGGCTCAGAGTCAGGTATCAAACAAGCCATGAATCTGATGATCGCGAATATTATCTGCCTTCTCTATAAGTCGAGAAGATATATTGAAGGGGTTGAATTATAGTTGAGTTGTGCCAAAAAAGTCGATTCCCAACTCACCCATTGTTAAAAAAATTGCCAACTCACCCATTGTTAATCCAACCATGTTATAACAAAAACTCAACATCAACAAACATGGTTTTGGATCTTAGTAGCTGAATCTGGCAACCTGGCAAGCTGAATATGTAGCTGAATCAATTGGAACTCATCCCAGAAACCGGCATATCAGCAATAATTACCGTAGTCAAACATGGCAAACTAAACCTCCATTGCGGGGATCTCCCAGCATCTCCCAGCTAACCATTGATGACACCAGAGGCTGATTAGCGAATTACTCATGATTCTTTCCCGTTCTTAATGATGTTCTATCCTTATGTCGCAGCATTTTTCGTTTCCAACAGTTCTACCTGTGAAATCCTGGGGGAAATGGGATGCTCTCCTGAGGATCTTTGTAGCCCTTCATGCGTTCATCCACCAGCTCCTTGGTCTCGGCATCCAAGGTGTCGTAGTTCAGCAGCGCCTGTGACAACATGATCAACATGCCATCTGAGTCACGAAAACATGGCTGATTTTGAGGAGTTGACCGTATGATGTTCATCATTTGTATTCAGTTGTCATCCAATTCGAGCGGATTGGCTGGTATTTTGGTCGTCCAATTTCATCTGTTTCATCCAATTCACATACCCTCTGGTTATGACTAACATAGCCATGGTATAGATGGCCCATTGAAATAGTGAGTTTTCCCATTAATGGCATGGTGGATCGTTCCATAGTTTTTCGTAAACGTTTACCCATGGAAGCCATGGCCCATAGAAATAGTGAGTTTTCCCATTAATGGCATGGTGGATCTTTCCATAGTTTTTCGTTAACGTTTACCAGAGGGTATATTCCCATAGTTGCTAGTGAAATCCCAAAAATTTCCCATGATATTCCCATGATATTCCCATGGATATTCCCATGGTAATCCTAAAATCATCCCCAAGATCATCCCATGAAACGCCACCAGTTTCAGGTTATCTCGACCTTGGGGTGAACTCCAATGGCATTGTTGATCACCTGCAGGTCGAAAATCCGGAAAACCACTGGGGATTCCAAGCAGCGAAACCGGGGGATAGTCATGGGGATATGACCAAAAGTGGATCGACATCTCCATGACTATCATGTTTTCATGGGATATATATGATGATATATGGGGATATGTCCTTTCAAAAACATGACTATCAGTGAATCTCAGACTATATGGGGATCATGTTTTCTCAGGACCGGGTTGACCAAAGTTGTTCAAATGATCTGCATGTCTTTCAGGGATTTTTGTCCGCCAAGTGTCGAACTCCAAGCGTGCCAAGCCGATTCCTTCATTGGGCAATTGGCCAAAGGCGAAGGCGGTCTCAGGGTTGCCCACGTTCATCATGATCCTCAGTCGCAATGGATAGCTACTGCAGGGCCGGAAACCAAACATGGGGGTCAATGATGACCGGGGTCCCTCCAAAATTGAAATGCGTTCTTCATATTTCTATATCGTATCTATTTTTGTTCAGTCTATCGATCTTTAAATCCCTTGCTATGGTTTCGATCATTTTTTACAATCCATTCTTTTCGCGTTTCGCGAAGCATGTTTTCAGTATAGTTTTGGGAAAGATTATTCTGGGATCATCTGGTCCCATCTAATGTAGTGTCCCAGATGATATCTGCTATATCGGATATCAAAAATTAGATATCTGGTACACACATTAATTATATGACCATTATATAACCATTAATATGACCATTATATGACCATTATATAACCATTAATATGACCATTAATATGACCATTATATAACCATTATATAACCATTATATAGCCATTATATCATATGAATATCCCATTGGAGAAGCATTGAACTCACCGTGTTTCAGTCCAAGGATCTTCAGACCCACTTCTGGCAACTCACCAAGGTCCTGCACGTTCTTCCTCGGACAGGGTCTCGAAAGAAATGTTTGGTGAGTCAACGCTTGGATGCTCGAAAAAAGATGTTCATAATGAGTACATATTGGACTAATATAGTAGGGATATGATATATATATATATATAGGATATATGAAAAATTGAAGAATGATAAATGACATATGATAAATGATATGATAAATGATATGATACACGAGATTATATGACATGTGATTATATATATATATATACACGACATTATATGACATATGATATGATATGATATGATGAGATATGATATGATGGTGATGTAATGGAATACACAACGAATATTGACCCTCCGGTGTCACCAAACATGGTTAGCTGGGAAATCTCCTATAAATGAAGTTTTAATGGGAAGATCATCCATAAAATGGGGGATGTTCCATTGCCACGTTTGACTATCGGATTGTATATTTAATGTGAATAATCACACATGGCACCTGAGTACCAAACCAAGGCAACCAAACAATGAGCCGGATACACTTCAACAATCTGAAACACTTCCAGAAAACAGGCCCCTTTGATCCTTTGCATCAAATCAATGGCAGAAACGAAATCTGGGGCATTTCAGCTGAGAGTCTCGAACTTCAACTCACCCTTGTAGATGAATCCTGTGTCACCCTCTGCGCATGACACAGTGACCTTGTCTCCTGACACGAGGCTGTGCTGCAACTGGAAAATCCTCGTGTCTCGTTGGTGTTGGGAGCATTCATTCCAAACTGGGCCCCCCGTTTATGACATAGAGAAGTTGGTGAACATACCTCCAACAACAATGATTTATGATACTTATAACCGCAGTTGATGGGGTATATAAAGCAACTTATAACGGGGTGCGAGTTGATCCAAATTGTAAGTGTCTCATATCCATTCAAATTTTCTGGGTCATTTTTGAATACCTGTGACACACCACCTGCAGCTTCAAGCTGATCTCCAAGGAGTGATCATCATGGTCCGGTCTAGGGGACCAAGGACTTCCACAATTGTACATGCAACACACATCTCAAACTTGCAGTCCACAATTTTTGCGAAACAAGTTGTAGCCCCAAATGACATGTTGATAATTTTCAAGTATATTTTTTACCCCCGAAAAGGAGAAAACAGTAATTGCCACCTTTACTGCGGCTTGGATGTTGCTAAATTCTCAAGATTCCACCATCCCACAGGGCTCCAATTTCATAAACCTCATTATTGTTCTACCCCGTTGTTTTACTGATATGTGGTATACCACCAAAACTCATCATTGATGTTTACTAATCCCATGATATACCACCAACCATTCGTAAATATCATCACATATAATCTATATCATCCATCCCCATGGTTTTTTAATGGAGCCACCATCCACCGTTGATCCCCGGCCTTTCTTCACCTTGTCGGTGGCATCGCCACATCCCACGATGGCCGGGATGCCCAACTCGCGCGCGATGATGGCGGCGTGGCAGGTACGGCCACCGCGGTTGGTGATGATGGCACCAGCCTTTTTCCTCGCTTTTCGTGGTGGATTCTAGGAATAAGCCCAATAAAGGTAATCACCCCCCAATGGATCATACGTTCTTCCCAATCAAGATAAAATACCCCCACTGGATGTTTTCCGAAAGATAGAAGTTGGCAACATCCAATCCGAAAAAAAAAGGTAGTCATACGTGAAATTAGATGTTCTATATTATAATCCGATGATGATATTACATGTAATATATCTTCATTTAGAGGATTCACCGGTGAATCATCAGATTCCCCTATGAAAAATGGCCATCCATGGCTGCTGTTGCCATGGCATCCATGGCATCCATGGCAGGTCAAGTGTCATGATGGGCTCCCAGTCTGGATCCGTCATGTCAGCCACCAGCACTTGACCCTGCTCGAACTCGCCCATCTGATCGATGCTGGTCAAGATGTTCACCTGGGCCGTTGCAAACTGAGGCAGCCATGGAGAAACCAGAAACCCTACAGGTGGGAGATGGAGGTTCCGATTAAATCACTCCCCAAACATCCCTCTGACCATCATTTTCATGAATGATACAATTCACCAACCTGAAATAGGGTCATGTTGGAGCTCATTATTGTGATTCGGTTTTATGGTTTGTGAATCGTTCTCGACAGTTACAATTTTAAACGCATCACCATGTTGGCCAGTTTTCTCTGTAAACCGACAGGGATTCATGAAGCAACTTTCTTCGAACATGGGGGGTTCTGTCAATAATTGGAAGCATGACTCTTCTGGGAACCTCCACCATTGGTAAACCTGGCGTACAGAGTTTCTTGAACAAACCATAAGATGATTCCTTCAGATGGTGTTCTTTTTCCATCCCATCACAAGGAAACAACCCAAAAAGATGCAGCATCTGGTAAATTCATCTAAAACACCATGCGGATTCATCATGCTCATAATTTCCTTTAATCTAGATCTTTAAAGGATTATAAGACACTATTTACCCATAAACAACACCCAATCCTTACGTAACACCCTATAATATCAATATCCAATACACCTGGACCTTCAAAAGTTCCAGCAGGTGCGCCTCGCCGCTGCCAATGCGCTTGCCAACTGCGCGGCCTTCAGCCACCTTCTCGCCACCTCCGTGGAAGGGGATCTTCGCCAAAAAAAACGGAGAAATTTGGGTTTAGTGTGTTTTTTATTGCTAAATGCTGGTGAACGATATTGATATGGGTCAAACTTGGGCCAATGGATTGGATTAATGGAACATTTGAAGAAGACTCAAGGGTTTACCAGGACATGCTACGCTGCTACAACATGTATAAATATACATGATCATCATGTCTCTATCACAATTAGTTGGGTTTCAGGCACCGCAGAACCAGATGGAATCAAATGGACCACAGCGATCCGATCGATGGTCGAATTTTGGATGAACCACTTGAGTCGTAGCCATGTTTTCTATCCGAACATGATACAACAATGTCCGCTTCCCCTGCACACTTCTAAGCTGCACAGCTTTGAACTGGGATCATCTAATGGAAACGAAGTCCGCAGCCATCGAATCAACAGAACCATCAGACACAGTAATTTGTTCATATTGTTCCAACACAGTATAGACAAGTATAATAAAAATCCATGAACCTTTGCCACCAACATCAAACACACAATCCAAAAACATCTATCAATAGCAATATGATAACTTTGTATATAGATATGTTTCCAAGGTTTTTTTGCCAGATTTTTTGTCACTGTTGGTTGATCCTGATTGATCCCAAAAAGTGTGGTTCCTGTCCCGGCCTTTCTCCAACATCTTGTACTCCTCGATGACACCGACCTTTTTCTGTGAGGCCACCGTCTCAGGTCGCGCCTGCACGATGTAGAGCTTGCCATCGTCGCCATCCCGGGCCCACTCGATGTCCTGCATTGGGGACCTCCCAAAGGTTGGTGGTGGCTGATGGTTCGTTATACCATGTACCTAAATCAGCCACTGTTGATCCCTGTAAGGCTTTACTATAGCTAATCATAGCTAAATTGCGTGTGCCATTTTCCTGGAAGGAACTGGCAAATTGGACATTGTGACATTCTATGTGATATTGTATGATATTCCATGATATTCCAATATATTCCAGCCATGTCGACGAGGCCTCCCCACATTGAACCGGCCATCATTGATAGATCCGTTCCCTTCCCCCCGGGCTCCATGGGGCGGCCGTAGTGCTTCTCGATCTTCACTGCCATCTCGGCCAGATCCTTCACCTGAAAAAAACACCATCGTTCCGCAGGAAAATGGGGATTTGACCGGGCAAACAATGGATTTTCGCCAGGATTTAGCCATGAACATATGGATGTCACCAACAAACATGTGGAGGTAACTCAGCAGAGTTTGACGGGCCAACATGATGCAACATGCAGATGTCAAGAAGGGAAATTGTGAGTTTAACCAAGCAACATTGGATTGAAAATTCAATCACGATTAAATCAATTACAATAACATTATATAAATCAGCATAAATCATACTAACATATATATATGTATAGATATGGGATATTGAGAAATCCACCAGAAATGTAGATCATGTCCAATGGGAACCCAGGGAAACCCATAGATGGCATAGTTTTTTCCCTCATTTTTAGATGAATTGCCCTGAAGAACCCACCACAAAAAAAATGGAAAAAATCACCCAATCACCCCGACGCACCTCCTGATCTGAGGCCGACCAACTGTTCTGCTCCTCCTCACTGGTGTCCACGGTTTCGGAGCCGCCTCCAGCCTGTGGCAGAACACCGGAGGAACTGCCATTTGGGGGTTTCCTGGAATGGGGGTACCCCCAAAATGGATCGCTGATAATGGGAAATCCTACTCAAATGGATGATGACTGGGGGTCCCCCTATTTTAGGAAACCTCTATATTAAATCATATCCCAATTTGACATCAAATTTCATCCATTGATCCATCTTCAACTCACTCAACTTCGCCTTGTAGATCATCTTGACCAACTTGGAACCCATGGTACGGGAGATGATGGAGTTCTTGCCTTCCGCCAAGGTCGGCTTGAAGACGTACCTCAGATGAGAAGATCAGACCCAGTTGGAGCCTAGGTCTTTTGCGTGGTCATCCTATTGGTAAACACTCCCAAACACTCCCCGAAAATCAGAGATGGGAGATATTGTTTATATATATATATTATATTATTTATATTATATACATTATTGATATTATTGATATTATTGATATTATTTATATTATATATATATTATATATATTATATATATTATATATATTATATATATTATATATATTATATATATTATATATATTATATATATTATATATATTATATATATATATATATTATTATATATATATATATATTATTATATATATATATATATATTATATTATATATATTATATTTCAGAAGAATGCAAAAACCAAACATGTTTTTTTGAAATAGGGAAACATCCTGAACTAGCGGCGTTTTTTTACTGGGAAAATCATCGAATCAAATGCCAGGGTAACCCAAAAGGTTTCCACCATCAGTTTCAACCATCCGAGGTGCCACTCATCGGGGTTCACGGTGCCACCCACCACGGTCTCGCCCAGGCCATAGGCCGAGGTCACGAAGACCACGTCTTTGAAGCCGCTCTCCGTGTCCAGGGAGAACCTCAAGGCGAACTCAAGGGCGACTACCAGCATGGCTGCAGGGTCTTGTTTCACACCCAGTCACATGACCAAACCCTACTTGGGATTCTTTGGCTCTTTCCTGGTGCAAAAAAAACAAGATGCAACCCACGAACCCGAATGCAGTCACGTAGAACAGTCTTGTACATTTCCCCTGTTACCGTACCAGTGCACTGTAGACTGTGGAATGTGGAACCGCGTGGAGTGCAAACTGCGCAGTGTTAAGGAATGTACTGCGCAGAATGTGAAGTGGGGATTGTGAAGTGTGGAGTGTAAAGTGTAGAGTGTGGGATGTAAAGTGTGAAGTGTAGAGTGTGGGGTGTAAAGTGTAAAGTGTAGAGTGTAAAGTGTACAGTGTAAAGTGTGAAGTAAAAAGTATAAATTGTGAAGTGTAGAGCGCAGAGCGTGGAGTGTAAAGTGTAAAGTGTGGAGTGTAGAAATTAAAGTGTGGAGTGCGGAGTGTAAAGTGTAGAGTGTGGAGTGTAAAGAGTAAAGTGTGGAGTGTAAAGCGTAGAGTGTGGAGTGTGGAGTGTAAAGTGTAAAGTGTGGAGTGTGAAGTGTGAATGTAGCGTGTAAAGTGTGAAGTGCAAAATGTAAAGTGTATATAGTGTAGGGTGTGGAGTGTAAAGTGTAAAGTGTAGAGTGTAAAGTATTTAGTGTGGAGTGCAAAGTGTTAAAGTGTGGAGTGTACAGTGTGGAGTGTGGAGTGTAAAGTGCTGGCAAAGTGGAGTGTAAAGTGTGAAGTGTGTAGTGTAAAGTGTGAAGTGCTAAGTGTAAAGTGTAGCGTGTGGAGTGTAAAGTGTAAAGTGTGCAGTTTAAAGTGTAGAGTGTGGAGTTCAGAGTGTAAAGTGTCAAGTGTAGAGTGTGGAGTGTAAAGTGTAAAGTGTGGAGTGTAGAATGTAGAATGCACAGTGTAAAGTGTAGTGCAGAGTGTGGAGTGCGCAGTGCAAAGTGTAAAGTGTCAAGTGTAGAGTGACAAGTGTAAAGTGTAAAGTGTAGAGTGTGCAGTGTAGAGTGTAAAGTGTGGAGTGTGGAGTGTAAAGTGGAGAGTGTGGAGCGTCAAGTGTAAAATCTGGAGTGTAGAGTGTAAAGTGTAAAGTTTAAAGTGTAAAGTGTAGAGTGTGGAGTTCAGAGTGTAAAGTGTCAAGTGCAGAGTGTGGAGTGTAAAGTGTAAAGTGTAAAGTGTAGAGTGTGGAGTGTGGAGTGTCAAGCGTAGGGTGTGGGGAGTGTAAAGTGTAGAGTCTAGAGTGTAGTGTGTCTGAAATATTGTGCCTGCCACGCGAAATGACATGCCACACACAACGGATCTGCACCAAATACTGCCCCTGCCGCACAAAATGAGACGCTCACGATGTCCCACACCTGCCACGCGATTTGCACGCTGTCACCGCTTGACGCGGCCCTGGCGATGCGATTCGCAAGGGACACGCAAAACGACACGTCTGAAGTGCTGCGCCCACGCAAAATGACTATGGAGGTCACCAAAGTTTTCAAAGTGCTGCGGATGCCACGACAAACGCAACTCATCTTCTGAAAACGATGCTATATATGGCGCCTGTCTCACGAAACTTGCGGACTTATTCAAACACGTGTGAAGTCAGGAAGTGCCGCGCCTGCCACGCAAAACGACATTACAGCCTGCTTTGGAACCTTTGAAAATGACAGGTTGCGCAGCTTCTCTCATAGGCACGGCGACGCCATATGAAAACCAGAAAATCGCGACGAGACATGTTGGAGCCTCAAAACGAGCATTTATTGCGAGACTTCCTCAAAATTTAACTTTGTGGCTACAAAATCGACGCTTTCCTGCGAGTTTTCTCATGAACATCTAGTGCTACAAAAATCGATGTTTCGCGCAAAGCTTTTGTCAATTTTCATCACATCCGACAAAATCTGACAAAACGCCATGCCTGCCAGGGAATTTGCACGTTGTCACCATTTGCCGCATCCCTGACAATGCGATGCGTAAAAAACACGCAACACGACACGTCTGAAGTGCTGCACCCACGCAAAATGACCATGGAGGTCACCATGGTGCTGCGGCTGCCACGGAAAACGCAACTCATCTTCCAAAAACGACACAAAAGTATGGCGCCTGCCACAAAAAACGGCTTTCAACACGTTATGAAACATGTTGGAATGTCACAAGTGCTGCGCCTGCCAGGCGAAATGAAGCTACGAAACTTTTGAAACCTCCAAGAATGACCACTTTTGCAGAGCTCGCCAGAGGCACGGCCATATGGTCCTCACGCGGACGGTTGCGAACGGTTGCGGACGGCAACGTCGAGCGAACACACCCTCAACCCCAGACCACGGGAAGTCTTGCTACGCAGTCAAGAAAAGAAAAACACCATGGAAATTGAGAGAAACAGGCAAAAACCGGAGGGAAAAAAACTAGGGAAATTGAAAAGAAAGAATGCAAGGGTCAATCCGTATTATACCTAACATCTGGATTGAATTTGGGTTGTTCCAAACTCCGCCTGTCATCCCATCATTGCTTCCCCAGCACTGGGCGGCCAGGGCGCATCACTCCGGCCGAGCCAGTCTCGCTGCGCACCATCTTTTGGCAGGTCGCGCAGAGCTGGACCTTCTCATGTTCGAAACCTGGCAGAAGTGGAGGGTTTTCGATGGTTTTCCACCAAGACGAACGTTGAAAACTGGGAGAAACCACCAAAAATTGATGGGATTTGAAGGTTTTTTGCCAAGAGTTTTCGAGTAGCAATCCAACAAAACGATGGAGCAACATCACGCAATTTTCTGGGAAACCAACACACCTCTGTCGTGACGGTAGGAGATGGCACGATCGGTGAAGAGGGAGGCAAACACAAGGTGCACCTTCTCCTTCATATCCTGATGTATCGGAGATTCCGCCAATTCTTTGCAATTTTTGACCCCAACAATGCAGCTTGGCAGCCACCCAAAAAATATTTCCGTTATCTTAAAATTTAAAGTTGATGAAAAAATCACTTCCCACGTAGCGACAAATTGCGTTTCTACTTTTTTTGGAGTTGCTACCAGTAGTACCACACAAGGTGGCGGAAGTTTCAACAATAGGAAACCTATAGGAAGGGTCGGTTGTTGTGATTCACGGATGGCAGAGCGAATCCACTGATGGACCGAAAGGTGGTTGGAGTTGTGTTTTCTGGAGTGGTTGCAATGGTTGCAGTGGTCACCTCACCACAACTACTGGATCCGGAAGTAGTGTGGTGTCGTAGTTGTAGTTGTAGTTGTAGTTGTCGTAGTGTAGTGGAGTTGTAGTTGTAAGTTGTAGTTGCAATGTAGTGTAATTAGTGTAGTGTAGTTGCAGTTGTAGTTGTGGTGTGGTGTAATTAGTGTAGTGTAATGTACTGTAGTGCTGTGTACCGTAGCGTAGTACAGTGTAGTATAGTCTAGTGTATTGTAGTGTAAAGTAGTGTAGTTGTACTTGTTGTGTAGTGTCGTGTAGTGGAATGTAGTGGTAGTTGCAGTTGTAGTGTAATGTAATGTAATTAGTGTAGTGTAGTGTTGTTTAGCTGCTATCTATAATCCATACTAATCTCTCATCCTCGTGGCCTCGTACCTGCTAAACATAGAGATTCACAACCGAAAAGGAAGCAACTAACATGAGAACCACATCTCATTTAATTAGAAACATACGGTTTTTCTGGGCACGAGATTTATCTTCTTGAAGGCAAATTGCGGATGGGAAAGAAATCAGAAAGGTTGGCTCATATCTGACCACAAATTGCCATAAATTAAGCGATACCCACCAGATTCAAAAGGATAAAGTTAGCAGTTGCTAGTCTTTCCCTTTGATACAGCTATGGTGATGCATTTTTCTTGCCTTTACTTATTCGAAAGAGCCAGCCAGAGTGTGAACCACATCTCTTTGTTCACTTTAAGCGGGCACGGCACCATATCCATGAATCCTTTCGGAATCCTTTGGCTCATATTGAGATTCAAACACAAGAAATCCACACCCCACCTATATACCCCACCTACCACCCACCATCCCACCATCCCACCGTCCACCCCCCTGCCGTGGTCCTCGTAGCCCATGACGTTCAGAAAGGTCTCCTGCTGCCCCGCGAAGGACGCGTCCGGCAGATCCTCCGCCGTCGCTGAGCTGCGCACCGCGAAGGTGAACTTCTCGTCGCCGCCCGAGACGCGCTGCCACTGGGCCTGGGGGTTGAGGCGGCCAGGGAGGTGGGCCTTGGTTTCACCTGAATCTTGCACAAAATAACGCGAACTTTGGAGCAAAATGGCAGTTGCTGGGGATAAATCCACCAAACCTAATGGAATCTGGAATCCACATCCTCCTTTCTGTGCCAAAATGGTATGGATATCCGGAAACAAACAAAGAAAATGATGAGGCTATGTGAAGCCATCATTTCCGTAAAGATCCAACTCAAGTCCGAGCATCCTTCAGTTCCTCTTCAAAGTCTTTCTGGAAAGGAGTGTCCATGATCTTGTCACGAATCGCTTTGCCGGCCTGCTTTTCAAGTCTCGTTTGCACGAGTGAACTCGGAGAAATGCATGCATGGTGCATGGAAAAAACACCAAGGGAGTATGCCGGGTGGCGTTTTCCAATGGTGTCGACATGTCGGGACAATGCGAAAAACAAGACTGTAACTCACAACCTTCACTGTAGTAATATTCGGGGAAGCCCTGGATAACCAACAATTCATTCACATGTGTCAGGTTTCGCGGTCCTTCATGAGCTTGTCCACGTCCTCGTAAATAGACTCGTCTGACAGCTGGTCGTTGATGTAGGCGTTGATTCCACCTGCCAAGCTCAGCGCTTCAAATTTTCTGTATCTTTTTGTTTCAGAAATAAAGACCACCACTTTATTCCCATCCCTCTGCATACTAAAACTGCAACTCATATTGCCCCCCCATGGACACCCAAAATGAATAGCTCCAATAGCATACCAGGGTTTCTCGGGGGTATTTAGCATTAAGAGAAAGGAGATTATCCTTGAAGTTTTTCAAACATGGTCTGTTGACAAGCAAGCAATCACAAATCCGCACCAATAATTCCCACGAATTTGGTCAGGTCACCATCCGCACTTTGCCATGGCACACCATCAATCCTGCACTCCCCCAGTCACAATGTGCTTGTGGGTCAAAAATTGAAGTCCTAAGAATCCGCAACATTTATCATTGTTCACCATACCTTTCTGTACTTTCTGTAAGTTTCCCATATATTTCTAAAAGTTTTGGCATATTTTTTCCGCCTTTCATCATTCCCGGTCACCATCAGTTGGTTTTCCCGGCCTTTGTCCAGGAACTCCTTGTACGCGAAGGCCGTAGTGCTAAATCCACCTGTAGAAACGGCTAAACATCTGGCACCAAACCGCTGATAGGGTCTAAGTCGGTTTTCTGGCTGGAGACTTACAACATCTCCTGCTTTTCTGGTGATTTCCTCTGCTTTTTTGATCTGGGTTTCCGTGGTGATTGGTCGAAATTCCATCCTGGATCTATCCTTCAAGTCCACCAATCATCCAAATCCACTCCCTCCACTCCCTGCAGATATTGGGCCTGGCACTGGCACGCCCACATCCGACAGTTGGGAGATCATTTCACCCAAAGAAGCGCTCTTTCCACCCACCTTCTCCACGTCCGTGTTGCGCAGCTCCTGTGATGGATGGCGACCTAACATGCGGATGCACTGGACGGCAAATACTTCCATCTTTTTGAATTCCACTGGATAACGCAATTGGTTTGGAACTGCCTAATGTTGTATCCTGATTGGTTCGCTATTGTGGCCAAAAAAACAAATTATCCGGAAGCCAGGTAGTGTTTGCGCGATTATTTTTTCGTCAAAACAAATGTTTGCGTGGAAACATATTTTCTAGAAAAAATATTGCTTGTCTGGCATTTTCAAAAGAACCAGGTCGCATATTCGGAGGAAGTTTAGAAGTCAAACTTCCGACAATATGGAGAGATGAAAAGCAGAGCAGGGAAGAGGCAGAGAGAAGAGAAAGATTAGAAGAAAGAAGAGTAGAAGAGAAAGAGTAAGAAGAAAGAAGATGCAGATGCGCGAAAAGGTAGGAAAGTCGCGAAGCACTGTGTTTTTCCAATGATTTGTGGCTCCGGAGGGTCGAAAAGTAGGCTCGCTAAAGCGGCGGGCGCGGAGCCCGCTGGCCAGATGAGAGATGAAAATTTGCACGCCGTTGTGGCGCGAAGCACATTTTGAAGTCAAAATGTACAAAACACACCATTCTCGGACCACTTTTGGAAGTGGCGATGTCGAAAAAGTGCACGCCGTTGTGGCGCGAAGCACATTTTGAAGTCAAAATGTACAAAACACACCATTCTCGGACCACTTTTGGAAGTTCAGATGTCGAAAAAGTGCACGCCGTTGTGGCGCAAAGCACATTTTGAAGTCAAAATGTACAAAACACCTCAGTGTCGGACGACTTTTGGAAGTTCAGATGTCGAAAAAGTGCACGCCGTTGTGGCGCGAAGCACATTTCCAAGTCAAAAGTGTTAACCACTTTTGGAAGTTCAGATGTCGAAAAAGTGTCGAAAAAGTGCACGCCGTTGTGGCGCGAAGCACATTTCGAAGTCAAAAGTGTAAAAAACTGAAGGTTTTGAGCCTTTTTTGACGTGAAGATGTCGAAAAAGTGTCGAAATAGTGCACGCCGTTGTGGCGCGAAGCACATTTCGAAGTCAAAAGTGTAAAAAACTGAGGGTTTTGAGCCTTTTTTGACGTGAAGATGTCGAAAAAGTAGACACTGATTAACTTAACTAACTTGACTAACTTAACTAACTTCACTAACTTAACTACCCTAACTTCGACGACAACAGCAACAGCAACAGCAACAACAACAACAACAACAACAACAACGACGACAACAACAACAACACCAACCACAACAACTACAACTACAACTACAACTACTACAACTACAACAACTACACAACAACTACAACTACAACTAGAACTACAACTACAACAACAACTACAACAACAGCAACAGCAACAACAACAACAGCAACAACAACAACAACTACAACTACAACTACAACAACTACAACAACAACTACTACTACTACAACTACACTACACAACAACTACAACCACACAACAACTACAGCTACAACAACAACAACAACTACTACTACAACAACTACAACAACAACTACAACAACAACTGCAACAACTACAACTACAACTACAAAACAACTGGAGCTACAACTATATGACTGCAACTACACTAAACTAATTACATTACACCACAACTACAACTCCACTACGCTACAACTACAACTACAGTTGCAGTACATCACACTACATCCAGCAGTTGTGGGTGAGGTGACCACTGCAACCATTGCAACCACTCCAGCAAACACAACTCCAACCACCTTTCGGTCAATCAGTGGATTCGCTCTGCCATCCGTGATTCACAACAACCAACGTCTCCTATAGGTTTCCTATTCTGAAACTTCCGCCACCGCCTTGTGCGGTACTACTGGTAAACCCTTATTGAAGAACACTTTTTCCACAAATTTCCAAGGCACTGGGTCATGAGAGGGCACAATTCACTTTAGTAGGTTTGTCCCCAGGGTTCACAGGTGCAGCAACTTTTTCAGAGCTGATCCTGGAACCAAGAGAAGAAAGGAAGGCCTTTTCCAAAAGCAATTGCCAAGTTCAAAGCCCAAGCCTTTCCCCAAAGAATCAGATCGCTTATTAAACCCTTATGGAAGAACAATTTTCCACAAATTTCCAAGGCACTGGGCCATGAGAGGGCACAATTCACTTTAGTAGTTTGTCCCCAGGGTTCACAGGTGCAGCAAACTTTTTCAGAGCTGATCCTGGAGCCAAGAGAAGAAAGGAAGGCCTTTTCCAAAAGCAATTGCCAAGTTCAAAGTCCAAAGCCTTTTTTGATCCTTATTAAACCCTTGTCAAAGAACAGTTTTTCCACACATGTCCAAGGCACTTGGACATGAGAGGGCCCAGTTCACTTTAGTAGGTTTGTTCTCAGGGCTCGAATTGCAGCAAACTTTCCAGAGCTGATCCTGGAGCCAAGAGAAGACAGGAAAACCTTTTACAACAACAACAATCTCTTTATTTTTCTTTTTGCTCCTTCGCTCTTTCGCTCTTTCGCTCTTCCGCTTTTTTGCTTTTTCGTTCTTTCGCTCTTTCACTCTTTTGCTCTTTCTCTCTTTCTCTCTTTCTCTCTTTCCCTCTTTCTCTCTTTCTGTCTTTCTGTCTTTCTCTCTTTCTCTCTTTCTCCCTTTCTCCCTTTCTCCCTTTCTCTCTTTCTCTCTTTCTCGCTTTCTCCCTTTCTCCCTTTCTCCTCTTCTCTCTTTCTCTCTTTCTCTCTTTCTCTCTTTCTCTCTTTCTCTCTTTCTCTCTTTCTCTCTTTCTCTCTCTCTCTCTCTCTTTCTCTTTCTCTTCCTCTTTCTCTTTCTGTTTCTCTTTTTCTCCCTTTTCCCTTTCTCCCTTTCTCCCTTTCTCTCTTTCTCTCTTTCTCTCTTTCTCTCTTTCTTTCTTTCTTTCTTTCTTTCGATCCTTCCTTCCTTCTTTCTTTCTTTCTTTCTTTTTTTCTCTCTTTCTCTTTTTACACCCTGAATAAAAAAAACCTTGAGGTGGAAAAGCTAGCGCAATTAACATGCTGAATCCCATTCAGTACAAGTATTACAGTACGGTCATCGGCCAAAACAAACAATTAGATTTCAATTGTCGCATATTGTCGCCAATTGAAATCCTGACTTAGATGCGGGATCGTGTTTTTCTGGGGAGCACCTTTTTTGCACCCAACTTTGAAGAAGGTATAGCATTTGTTTGGGGTGGGGAGGCACAGGCAAAATCAGGACGGAACAGTGCGGTCACCCATCCAATTTTCCAAGAACTTTGTTTCCTCCAAAGGAATGCAGACGCGCGTGTCTTCTTCACCACCCCTGGCCCGCAGGGACACCACGGACTTCTTGGTGCTGCGGCGGCCGCGGGCACCGGCACCGAGCGACATGACCCCTGCGGCGACGGCAGCGGCAGCGGCTGCACCGGGTGCGCTGACGTTTGGCGTCGCACTCGGGGCGCTCGAGGAGGCACTGGAAGCGCTGGCGGTCACGCGGCTCGCAGAGGAGCTGGGTGCCTGGCATTTGGCTGTGGAGAGGCTCAGGTAGCAATATGTAGCAAGATGATTCTATGGGGGAAGCTTACTTGTAACATAGGACCTACACTTAACAAATAAATCAAACTAATTACCAGATAGTGCCCGGCACGCTCCGGGGCGGAAGTATCGAACAAAGTAGGACTACTATAGACACTATAGGAAGATGACCTATAGGATTTTTTTGAGATGCAGAAGCAAGGAAGTGTTGAAGTTGTGAGGCGCACCAACAAATGAGCACATGGTTGTTGAGATGCCAATGAAAGGATCATGCACAACTGACTGAATGAGTCAATGAACCAATGCATCCATGAATCATTGAGCCAGCGAATCCAGGAATCAGTGAATCAATGACGGAAGGAAGCAATGGACCAACGAATCAATGAACCAACCAATCAATCCAAACGAAATCAAATCAAAACAAAACCAAAATCAATCAACCACTCAGTCCAATGAGTTCAAACCAAAGAAATCAAGGATCAATCAAGCAAGGAAGCGACGAAGCAATGAACCAATGAATCAATGAATGAGTGAAGCAGTGGGTCGATGAACCAGTGAATCAATGAAGCAATGAAACAATCAAGCAACGAAGCAATGAAACAATGGCTGAACGAATCAATGAAACAATGAACCAACCAATCAACGAATCAGTGAACCAGCCAAACAACGAATCAATGAATCAACGGATCAGTGAACCGTTATTGAACTGGCCCATCAATGAATCAAGGAGTCGGTCGGTGATCAGCCATTCATTGAACCAATGAATCAGTAAATCAACTAACCAATGACTCACACTGAATCAGTGAAACATCGAACCAATGAATCACAATGAAAATCAGTGAACCAACGAATCAGTCTGAATCAATGAATCAATGTGAATCAACCAACCAATCAACCAATCAGTCAATCAATCAAATCAAAATCAAATGAAATGACATGAAATCAAATCAGTTGAAATCAAATCAAGTCAATCAATCAAATCAATCAACCAATCAGTCAATGAATCAGTGAACCAATGAAGCAAGGAAACATGCACTACCTCCGCCCTGAGCTGCCTCCCACAGCTAGCTCTTCTGTAGCTTCCGCAACTGCAACGCTATTCTTTTCTTCGCGCAGCTTTTACAACCTCCAGCTGCAATCCCGCATAGCACAAGAGTAGCACTATGGTCAAGAATACCTGTGGCGCAGCCGCTGCAGTGCATTTAGCAACCTCCAGCTGCAATCCCGCTTGCCAGGAGCGTCGCAGCATCACTCATGCTTTGCTACACGCAGTCGTGCCAACGCGTTTTGTCACAACCGGTTGCAAGCCCCCTAAAGCAGGAGCGTCGCACTGAATCGGTTAACGCTGGCTCAGCGCTGACATAATGGCGACTCATCCACACAAATCCAGGGCTGCTCCGAACGTGAAGTTTTAAACGATTTTTATGTGAAACGGAGCTCTCGCTACAATCTGGTGCACATTTTGCCAACTTCATCTTCCAAAAGTGCTCCAGGCATGCCACTTTTAAAAAAATGAAGTGCAAATCGAAATCTCGCTACAGTTCTGTGTGCTTTTTGTCGACGACTTTCCCAGATCGAGCCCCGAAACCGCGGAGACCCTCCGTCGGCGACCGGCTGAGAGTGTCTTCACCCGTGAACTCAGGCGTTACCGAACCGTTACATTTCCCAACTACTTGATGATGGGTGGTTGACCATGATGATGTGGTTGAAATGATGATGGTATACTGACCATGACAATCGTCCGTAACTCGGAAGTTTTCTAACTAAACTTCCATATGCAATCTTTTGCAAGAATAACATAATTCCTTTTACAGGAGCACCGCAAATATCTGCGATGAACTTATGCAATTATTTGCTCGCGCCAGGTATATGTCCACAATACTTGAATCAATCCTCATTCCTCCAAGATTGTCCCATGATTTTAACAACTTTTCAAGATTTTCCGAGGGTTTCCCATGTTGTCCACATGTTCTTCCCAGTTCCCAAGGATTTCCCCATGGATTTTTCCACACCTGCGGCGCCACAAAGCCCACTGTTGCCATGGCACCAACGCCCAGCGCGACTGCGGCGGCTGAGCGGCGCAACGACATCTTGCTGTGGACCGCCATGGTGCCTTAGGTGGAAAAGTGATGGCTTTGTTTCAAGATTTTTTTGGCCACGCGAATATATTGATAGATTTCCCATATATTGGATTTGTTCAACATTTAGAGATTTTTCACCAGCAAAGACTGGGATCTAACCATCAACTCTTGGGTTTTTGATGGATTTTGAACCACAGAATGGGGGTGTTTTAAAAAGAAGGAGGGTTGAAACGAGTGGCAAGCAATTTTAATGAAGATGCTTGGTGTTGTTTGATGATTCTACGGTGTTTGAAAAGCAAGTCCTGGTGCCTTTTTTTGGAGCAACAATGAATTGGAGCTAATTCCTGGTGTGAACCGATGTTGAGTTGCAATGGTTTTAACCAGCAAAGCAAAAGCTTTAACTTTAATCATCCAACTAACATGGGGGTCCTAAGTCTTTTTGAAACACTGGAGATCTGAGCAAAAAGCCAGCATAAATGTGGTGATGTTGTGATCTTCTTTGGTGATTTATAGAGTTTTCCTTCATTTTAGGTGGATTCCCAGATCCTTTCAAGCCCATCACTGGAATAGACATGGAGCCTCGCCACGAATCGCCACGATCCAAGGTGCAAATCCCAACTTTCGCGGCCGACCGGTGCAATGATTTCTTAACTTCAAGCCAAAATCATGGTCCGGAAACGAAACATCTGCAGAGAACCTGCACAAATTTTGGTATTTTGGAATATCTTTGAATATCCGGAAAATCCCCTGAAATATATATCCCGAAGAAATTTTAGGCTTCAAAGCTGGGTTCGTCTCGTCTCAGCTTCTCAATGGTTTCATTGCTCACTCCTGGAAGGAGAGGACTGCACTGAGACTGCGGAGGATCAACACAACTTCAGGCTGGTTGGTTATACCCTATCTGTGACCATTAGTAGGCATGGCAGCAGGCCGTGGTTCTACCCAATCCACAGCACACCCTCACAGAAGTTTTGATCCATCCGTCTATCGCGGTAAATCGAGCGCATCGCTCAAGACATTTGCAGGGCAGATTCCAAATTGACATTGCTGGAGAGGTATGTAGCCATTTACACTAGGAATGTGAAAGTTGACCCACCATAAAATTTCAAAGGCTTCCCCAGACTGCCCAAGGTAGCCGCCGCCTCTGAACACAAATCCTATATTCAATTTTGTGACCGAAAGGTTGAAATCACATCATCTTTGAGCTGGTCAAAGCCCAAATTTTTTATGAGACCAACAAGCTGAGACTGGCTGAGCCGCCTGTTGGCAACATGGCCTTGAGGATGGGCGAAACTGCTTGCCCCGGTGCTGCAAGCATCAACTAACACCAAATGTGAATCGATGGGTACTTGTACATGGGATCATGTCCAAGCTTATGAAGGTTTAACCATATGATATATCCATTCAAATTCCATCCGTTGGCAAATTGGTCGTAGTTCCACTCGAACATCTGGTGGCATCACGGACAGCTTCACCCGGCGTCGGGGCTTTCAAGCTAAAAATTCCAAAAGCACCAGGTGGTTGGATTTATGATGTCTTGGATGTCTTGGATGTCTTGGATGACTGGTGTTGGATCTTTTCTTTCAGACTCCAGGTCTCAATTGGTATAGCTTGATGTAGCTTGAAACACATCATCTCTCTGGCACTCCATTACCATGTCTGAGCCAATCACTGGGGATGGGGTGAATCTGTATGGACCACAAGGGAGCGCTCCGGACATTTCGCTCCCTCACTTTGCCAAGAACTGCCAGGTTGGAAGGACCTGGGGCGGAGACATGACACCCACACAACATCTTCAAAAACATGATTCAGGCTGAGCCAGGATTCTCTCCCTCCAATTTAAGCTCAGAAGGTAATATGTTCTTGTCTCCGTTCAAGTCCAGGCCGGAACTTTTGATCTTCTACGAATTTAGCTTAGCAGCTTCTGAAAGTAAGTCAACTCAACTGTTCAAGCCGATTGTGTATTGAGCGGATTGTGGCAGATCGTATTGCCGCCATTTACTTTTTGGATACCGCAGATCCGATTTGGGTGGAGGGCAACTATTCCCGCCGCTGAACTGTTGGCCCATTCTGTTTCGTTGACTCCTAGGTCTGGGGGCCTGTCATTCTGTCATTCCATATGATTCACATGGAAGTATGTTGATTGCTTCAAGTGTCATCTTATTGTGGAAAGAAACCACTGCCTGAGCATGGGATGATCAACTGATTGCTTCAAAACAATTCACCATTCTTCGCTGGTTCAAGCCACATTTGCTGCTGGCAGCCCCCCCACTTGTTGAACAGCCAAATGGTTTTTGCTTCAACCACCATGCTGATGGTTCAATCCGAATTTCGGACCATTCAATCCCCATGCATGGTTTGATGCTTACAAGTCGCAAATCTTGATGAAAAATCCCGATATTTAACGGTTTAAATCTCTTTTTGGGGTGGCACGAGCTGATTTCCCCGTGGAAGAAAACCACTTGGTTCGATCACCGAGCTGCCGAGTCGGGGTTCAGCGACGCGGAGTTGATGCCCTGCTCCATGGGGTGATTTTCCGATTTTTTTCCTCTTGGGTCTTTTGAGTTCCATGTCAAATTCAGAACAGATTGTGCACCCATCAACTCGTCTCATACCTCTGGGCACGGCGGTTTTATGCAATCTTTTATCCATCCATTGTGGCTCCCTCCAGCCATAGGGTTCCCATCTACCGAGGTCGCCTGAGTCACGGTCCAAGCCCACGGTGAGCTGCGTGAGGTCGTTGCTCCCAATGGAGAAGTCATCCTCAAAGGACACGCCGTTGAGGTCACCTGAGAAAAAATGATGCGTTTCCCCGGAAGAGGTAAATATAAGATGATTCTGCACAGGCAAACATAAGAGGTTTTTGCACTTGCTGTGTCATGTCACCAAGTCATCAGATTGATTCATGTTTTTGCTGTGAAACTTTGGCAGAAACCAGTGAGGGACCAACGGAGTCTCCTCAGACTCAAAAGCAAGTGGCTTTGCCAACTGCCCTGCTGAATCAACTAGAATCTCAGGTGACAAGTCGATAACTTTTTCATCACCTACTGGAAGCATGTCTACTTCCACTTCAGTGTAACAGTGTAAGCATAGCCCTTCCGTTCAAGCCATGCTACTTCGGCTTTCTGTGAATTCCCGAAACCTTCGGATGCCTCCATGAAGTGGCGTTCTTCCTCTGGAAGCCACGCCAAAAAGAGCCGCTGCACCTCCCGCGAGTACGGCGAAGAAGAGTCTTCACGTGGGTCTTTCGAAAGGCCTGCAATTCCTTCGTCGCATGCGTTGGAAAATGCTTGCGTCTGGAAGAAGTCCTGTTTCTTGGCTTAAATGGCTTCTCGCCTCATGTGCTCTTTACCAGCCGTCGAGAAATCCTGAACTTTCCCTTTACCCTTCATGCCTTTGAAGAAGTACACCTCCATTTCAGCCCCTTCTGAAGAGTTGTGTATAGCCCGAACTTCAAACTAGCTGCTGGCTGGTCTTGGACATTCGGGATGGGTGAATTACGTTGAGTTGCAGTGATTCCACTTCCTAGCAGCCCCATCTTTGGTGGTCATTATGAACCTTTTCAGAAATTATATCCTCATTTTGCTTGGTCAAACCATAAGTTGGAGTGGTCTCTGAGTAAATGTCATGTCTGCCGAGTCATACCAAATTTCTGCTACTGTACTCGTTAATCTTGTTAATGTATAAATGAACTCCCGTGACATGCAAAAACAACTTGGTACAAGTCGGTACTGCCAAGATGCAAAGTACTCGAATTTTTACATAGATAGATGTTGACGCACTCTCTGCATATAATACCGGTAGTACCGCACAAGCCGGTGGCGGAAGTTGCAAAAATAGGAAACCTATAGGAGAGGTTGGTTGTTGTGAATCATGGATGGCAGACCGAATCCACTGATGGACCGAAAGCTGGTTGGAGTTGTGTTTTTTGGGGTGGTTGCAATGGTTGCAGCGGTCACCTGACCACAACTGTTGGATGTAGTGTGGTGTAGTGCAGTTGCAGTGTAGTGGAGTTGTAAGTTGTAGTTGTAGTTGTAAAGTAGTGTAGTGTAATGTAGTGCAGTGTAGTGTCGTGTAGTGTAGTGTAACGTAGTGTAGCATAGTGCAGTGTAGTCTAGTGTAGTTTGTGTGAAGTAGTGTAGTTGTAGTTGTAATGTAGCGTCGTGTAGTTGATTTGCAGCGTAGTGTAGTGTAATTAATGTAATGTAGCGTAATTAGTGCAATGTAATGTTGTGTGAGTAGAGGTGGTGGTAGTAGTAGTAGTAGTAGCAATAATAATAACAATAATAGTAGTCGTAGTCGTAGTGGTAGTGGTAGTGGCAGTGGCAGTGGCAGTGACAGTGGTAGTGGTAGTGGCGGTAGTGGTAGTGGTAGTGGCGGTAGTGGTAGTGGTAGTCGCAGTGGTAGTGGTAGTCGTAGTGGTATAGTGGTACAGTGGTACAGTGGTACAGTGGTATAGTGGTATAGTGGTATAGTGGTATAGTGGTATAGTGGCATAGTGGTATAGTGGTATAGTGGTATAGTGGTATAGTGGTATAGTGGTAATGGTAGTGGTAATGGTAGTGGTAATGGTAATGGTAATGGTAGTGGTGATGGTAGTGGTATAGTGGTATAGTGGTATAGTGGTATAGTGGTATAGTGGTATAGTGGTAGTGGTATAGTGGTAGTGGTGGTAGTGGTGGTAGTGGTGGTAGTAGTGGTAGTAGTGGTAGTAGTGGTAGTAGTGGTTGTAGTGGTTGTAGTGGTTGTAGTGGTTGTACTGGTAGTACTGGTAGTACTGGTAGTAGTGGTGGTAGTAGCAGTACTGGTGGTGGTAGTAGTAGTAGTGGTGGTGGTGGTGGTGGGAATGTCGAATCACGGATGGCAGAGCGAATCCACTGATGGACTGAAAGGTGGTTGGAGCTGTTTTTTGGAGTGGTTGCAATGGTTGCAGTGGTCACCTCACCACAACTGCTGGATGTAGTGTGGTGTAGTGCAGGTATAGCTGTTGTCGTAGCTGTAGCGTAGCGTAGTGGAGTTGTAGTTGTAATGTTGTGTAATTAGTGCGGTGTAGTTGTGGTGTGGTGATGTGTGGTGTAACTAGTGTAGTGCATTGTAGTGTACTGTAGTGTTGTGTACTGTAGCTTGGTATAGTGTAGTGTAGTGTAAAGTAGTGTAAAGTAGTGTAGTGTTAGTTGTAGTGTAGTGTAGTGCAATTAGTGTAGTGTCATGTAGTGCAATTTAGCGGTAGCTGCAATTGTAGTTGCAGTAGTAGCTGTAGGTGTAGCGCAATGTAATGTTATTAGTGTAGTGTAGTGTTGTGTAATGTGATGTAGTTGTAGTCGCATGTGTATTTGTAGCTGTAGTGTGCTGCAGTTTAATTAGCGCAGTGTAGTGTAATGTGGTGTAGTTGTACTTGTAGTTGTAGCTGTGATAGTAGTAGCTGTAGTAGTTGTAGTGTAATTAGCTTAGTGTAGTGTAGTTAGATGTAATTGGCGTACTGTAGTGTAATTAGTGTTGTGTAATGTAGCATAGCTTATTTGCATTTGTAGTTGTAGTTGTTGTTGTAGCTGTCTATCTATATCTACCTACCCATCTATCTATCTATCTTTCTATCTACCTATCTGTCTATCTCCACCTATCTCTATCCATCTCCACCTATCTCTATCTATCTCTATCTATCTCTATCTATCTCTATCTATCTCTATCTATCTCTATCTATCTCTATCTATCTCTATCTATCTCTATCTATCTCTATCTATCTCTATCTATCTATCTTTCTATCTCTTTCTATCTCTTTCTATCTCTATCTATCTCTATCTATCTCTATCTATCTATCTATCTACCTACCTGACCTACCTACCTACCTACCTACCTATCTATCTATCTATCTATCTATCTAGCTGCAATCTGCATGCTTGAAAACCAAGCTATTCTGCGAGACTTCCTCAGTTTTTGAACCTGACAGCGTCAAAAACGAAACAAGTCTGCGAGACTTCCTCAATTTTCGAAGTTGACAAGTGCAAAAACGAAGCAATTCTGCGAGACTTCCTCATTTTTCGACGGTGACAACATCAAAAACGAAACAGTCCTGCGAGACTTCCTTCAATAGAAAGTTGAGTGCAGCGCTGACGGCCTCGTACCAATTCGTTTTGCGATTTTTCCACTCCACCTGTCTAAAGTACTGTGCCTGCCACGAAAAATTGATGCCAGGTCATACAAAGTGCTGCACCTGTCACTGAAAATCATCTTAGAAAATCATCTTAGCAAACTGACAGATCTGATGCTCCAAAATGCAACCCCTCTCAGGAAATCAGCACCCTGGCCTCCTAAGTCTCTCATGAACATGTCTTTTGTACTGCGCCTGCCAGAGAAAATGCATCTTTGCAGATCCTCTTCAAATGTCCCATGCCTGCCATGGTTTTTTGGAAATGCTACAAAACCCTCACGTTTTGCTCACTTTTGACAAGGTGCACCATCCCTTGCGCCTGCCACGCGAAACGACATCTGAACCTCCAAAAGTGGCGCGAGCGTGTGGTGCTTTGTACATTTTGACTTCGAAATGTGCTTCGCGCCACAACGGCGTGCACTTTTTCGACATCGCAACTTCCAAAAGTGGTCCGACCCTGGTGTGTTTTGTACATTTTGACTTCGAAATGTGCTTCGCGCCACAACGGCGTGCACTTTTTCGACATCGCAACTTCCAAAAGTGGTCCGAACGTGAGGTGTTTTTAGCTTTTTCACTTACAAATGTGCTTCGCGCCACAACGGCGTGCACTTTTTCATCTCTCATCTGGCCAGATGGCTCCGCACCCGCCGCTTTAGCGAGCCTACTTTTCGACCCTCCGGAGCCACAAATCATTGGAAAAACCTTTCGCGACTTTCCTACCTTTTCGCGCATCTGCATCTTCTTTCTTCTGACTCTTTCTTTTCTCTGATCTGCTCTCTTCTACTCTTCTCTTCTCTCTGCCTCTACCCAGCTCTACTTTTCATCTGTCCATATTGTCGGAAGTTTGACTTCTAAACTTCCTTCGATAACATATATATATATATATATAAAGATTATAGGAATGATATCCATTGTGAAGACCGTTCTTCTCCTGAGGAAGGCTTTGCGCAGGTCCCAGGTTGTGGAAAAATGAATCAAATCAACAAACAGTGAATTATAGTCATATAACAGTTGAATGAAATTTAAACGATCCAAATTCAACCATCAAGTCCGCAAAATCGTGGTTTCTTGTGACCCCCGCGGCTTTTGGCCGTCTTTCAAGCCTTGAAACCAGCTCGTTCGCCGAGACGCCAGCACTTCATTGACGTCCTTCGCCATCTCCAGGGTGCGGACTAAGGGAATCATGTCCACATTCTTCAGACCCATCTCTCCACGGACCATCTTCACAGCCTGATGCTCTGATCAACGACCGAATTTTTCGGGGATCAACTTGGGGTTAGCCATGGAATCCGATGGAACATGGTGGAACTATATTTTGGGGGTGGGTACATGAGATTACCCACAAGAATTAGACGGAAAAACATGGGAAACATGGAAAAACAACAAACCCTTCAAGGCCTTTCAGGCGCTTCGACGTAACGATTTCTTTTCGGATTTCCCGAGCTTTCAAATACCATCCATCACCATCCAACAAAACCTGGCCCTTTCTGAAATTAAAGATGTAACAATCTATCTTTCCCACAGAAAGGGGGTATAGGAGAACAAAGAGCAAAATAACTGCGGAGACAGTTGCTCCTTTCAGATCCTTTCAGTATCTTTCAGTGGTGGCGCAAGTAAAAAGGAGTTTTATGAAATATTTCAGATGCTGTTTGTCACCTGAAGTGAATTAGTTTGCATGTCGAACTCATTTTGCTCGGAAACTTTGGCAGAAACCGGTAAGGGACCAGCGCAGTCTCCTCCCAGAAGCAAGTGGCTTGGCCAACTGCCCTGGATCAAGGCTGGACCAATTAGAATCCAAAGCGGAAAAGTCAATGTATTATCTACATAACCTACTGAAGCCACTTGGAGATGTCCACTTCCACTTCTGTGTACGCATAGCCCTTCCGTTCAAGCCATGCTACTTCGGCCTTCTGTGAATTCCCAAGACCTTCAGATGCCTCCATGAAGTGGCGTTCTTCCTCTGGAAGCCACGCCAAAAAGAGCCGTTGCACCTCGCGCGAGTACTGCGAGGAAGAGTCTCCACGTGGGTCTTTCGAAAGGCCTTCAATCCCTTCGTGGCATGCGTTGGAAAATGCTTGCGACTGGAAGAACTCCTGTTTCTTGGCTTGAATGGCATCTCGCCTCAAATGCTCTTCACCAGCCGTTGAGAAATCCTGAGCTTTCCCTCTGCCCTTCATGCCTTTGAAAAAGTAAACCTCCATTTCCGCGCCTTCTCTGTGCGCCCTTTCGATGTTTGCTATCCACTTTGTCCACCAACGGCAACCCCACGGCTTTGGCTCCCCATAAAGGGGAACACACCAGCAGCTGCCCTGTAGCCTTTCCTCTTCCGGGATAACGTCGTGACTGCCGAAGTGCTTTGAACCCTCGGGCAAGAAGACCACTGCTGCACTGATGTTGCCACTGCGGCTACCGGCGACCAGGGCGTCCCAAGCAGACTCGTATTTGCCTGGCCACGAGCAAACACATTTGCCGGTGCCTGGAAGAACTTTGCCGTGAAACACGATGGTCCGATTGGCAACTGCCTCCTTGTCAAGCCTCTCAACATGTTTGATCATCTCCTCGAAGGAGGCATTCGACAACCACGACCTACACATGTGAGTAGACATGTAACAGCACGGCAGGCCAGCTGCCAGCACGGTCCACCAGAATCCAGCCATCACACACCTCACGATGGCTATGGCTACAGTAATGGAGCCCAGGAAGAAACAGCCGTAGCTGCCATAATATACCAACACTTTCCGTCGTGGACCTGAAAATCTGAGACCATCAGTCAGAGCAGTGGAGCTGATGAAGCGCAGGCCAGCCAGCCCCAGCACCAGGAACGAGCACAGCAGCGCTGCGAGGGCCGCGCCTTCGAGGTCCAAACACGTCATTAGCACCAGGAGGCCCAAGCACAGTGCTGTGTAGGAGGACCAGATCGGGAAGCAACAGAACACCTCTATCCTGCGTTGTTTCTCAAGTTCCTTTTCCATTCTCCTTTTCCGCTCCTGCAGCAGGGACTTCTCTCGATCAACCTCGTGCTGCTCCTTTTGCAAGAAATCCGCGACCTCAACGCCAAAAGACCCGAAACTCTCCGATGCACGAAGGGTCAAGCCGTCTTCGACGCGCCGAGTCCCGAAGATGCTGGCGTCATCCCTGCAGCGAACTTTCATCAGCTTGTCAGATGCTCGGGTGACGTCGAAGCCGCAACATTTCCGTGGGTAGAGCACCTTTACCTCTTGGTCCAACGTCACCTCAATGGCTGCTCCCAAGTTGTTCTCAAGCACCACGATGCCATCTTCAGGGCCATCTGGCTCTTTGGCATCTGGAATTCCAGGTAATTCCATGGCGTTGTGGAAGGAACTGATGCTGCTTTGCCCAGCGGCAATGTAGTGACAAAAAATTAGCTGGTCTATTAAAATTTCTTTTCATTTTCCAATTCTCTCCAATCTGTGTGTCCTTTAGCATGCGGTACTCAGTGTGTGTGACCTAAACCCAAGAACCAGAAAGGGCGGGTGGAAATCTGACCTTTTTTCTGGCACAAGCCAAGAGCTGCATGGACCATGCTGAATTTGAAGCAGAAAAACCCTTGGAGTCACCTGGATTCGGGTTCAGTTGATTCAGCCTCAACGGAGAGAACGCCCCAATTTCAGACACAGCATACCACGATACCACGACATGAGGTCAGCTCAACAACGGAACCAGTGCGTTGCCCCACCTCCAATTCCATGGCGAAGAAGGCAGCCGACCGCAGCCGCGGAAACCGATCATGGGATTCTCGTCTTCGGATTCATTCTCACCACCAATCAGGCTGTACCTAGAACCATCAGAAAAGCATGAAAAACATATCAAAACATGGTTTAGAAAGACTGATGGTTGGTGGGATGCTGTTGAGATAGTCAGTTGTTGGCATGTGTGTGCATGTGTTCCATCCTTGACTTTCTTGAGAAAAGATGTTGGGATATATCAAACCTGGTTTTTGGAGCCCATAATCAACATCAAATCACCAGCCATAACTCATGCCTTCTCCATTTGTTGCATCCTCCATCATCCTCCCACCCCAAGTGATTTGGGGAGTTCCCGACATTTCCTGATCTTTGCCAGGCCGCTCCGTGACAGGCTGGCCGTCACGAGCCACGGCGAGTTGGGGGCCCTGGGCGCCCTGGGTGCCTGGCAGTCGAGTCACTGGCTCTGGTAACATGTCCGATTTTTCCACTCCACCTGTCTAAAGTACTGCGCCTGCCACGAAAAAGTGATGCCAAGTCATACGAAGTGCTGCACCTGTCACGCAAAATCATCTTCCCAAAACTGAAGATCTGATGCTCCAAAATGCAACCCCTCTCAGGAAATCAGCGCCCTGACCTCCTAACATCTCTGATGAATATGTCTCTTGCACTGCGCCTGCCACGGACAATGCATCTTTGCAGATCCTCTGCAAATGTCCCACGCCTGCCATCGCTTTTGGAAATGCTACAAAACCTTCATGTTTTGCTCACTTTTGACAAGGTGCACGATCCCTTGCGCCTGCCACGCGAAACGACATCTGAAAGTCTAAAAGTGCTCCGAACCCGTCAGTTTTTTTATAGACTTTTGATTTCGAAATGTGCTTCGCGCCACAACGGCGTACACTGTTTGAACATCTCAACTTCTAAAAGTGCTCCGGAGCTGACGCCTTTTGTGCATTTTGACTTGGAAATGTGCTTCGCGCCACAACGGCGTGCACATTTTCGACATCTCAACTTCCAAAAGTGGTCCGAACGTGAGGTGTGTTTAGCTTTTTCAATTGCAAATGTGCTTCGCCACAACGGCGTGCAATTTTTCATCTCTCATCTGGCCAGCTGGCTCCGCAACCGCCGCTTTAGCGAGCCTACTTTTCGACCCTCCGGAGCCACAAATCAATGGAAAACACAGTGTTTCGCGACTTTCCTACCTTTTCGGGCACCTGGATCTTCTTTCTTCTGAGACTTTCTCTGTTTGATCTTCTTTCTTCTTCTCTTCCCTGACTCTTCCCATCTCTGCTTTTCATCTGTCCATATTGTCGGAAGTTTGGCTTCTAAACTTCCTTTGATCATCATCTATCATCACATCATCCGTGCATCTTGCACATAGGACCTAGTATACAACAATTGCGGTGACCTATCAAGAAATGACGAAGGGTCATCTTGGAAGGCCCCCTGCTGAATTTGGGAACCCACCAACACCAACATCTCAGGATCTTGTGAATCTTGTGCCATCATCCACCCATCTGGCCACTTGGGGATCCCCACGTGCCCTTGGCCTTTGCCGCCTTCAACGTCTCCAAGCCCTTCACTGCAGGGTTTCGCTCATCGAAGTACTGGGCCACCAGCCCTGGCCGGAGTTTCAGAATTTCCTGGCGAAACATATATGAAACTGTACAGGAACAATTCACAACAAACATTTTGGATGATGATCCATACAGGTGGGAAGTCAACAAAAACCAGCAACTTCACAGCTTCGATCCTTCCGATCTGAGATGTCTAGTTTGGTCTCAGATTTCACACATCTTCACACATCTTCACACCCTCTGAACTTGACAGATACAAATGGATACAAGTGGATCAGGATCTGGAAAATGTGTTTTCCCGATATTTTTTTCTCGGAGATTGCCTCCTATGTCAAATTCAAGGCGGCGAAATTCCCAAGATACCCTTCAACTATCTTAACTGACCATACTGACCCTGAAATTTGAAGATACTCACTCAACTGATCATAGCTCTGACTAAAAAAGGCTCATTTTTATGCCATCTTTAACACAGGACCCATCCTTCATGGCTTCCATGGCATTCCGAGGCCCCTAACCGGTCGCCTGAGTCACCGTCCAAGCCCAAGGTGAGCTGCGTGAGGTCGTTGCTCCCAATGGAGAAGCCATCCTCGGCGGAAACGCAACCTTTCCCGGCAATCCCAAGGAATCCTTGGAGATTTTTTCTTGGTGATGTGAAAATTTCTGGATTTTGATTCATTCATCTTAATAATATTATATTAGAATATGATATCACTCCGGTAGATTATGATATTTATGATAGATTCGAAGTCATGTCACTAAGAGACATACTTGCTATAAGAAATGATCTAAAGTATCTAAAGTGACTAGTACTCCTAGCACAATGTCATAAATATGTCATAAATATGTCATAAATCGGCCTTTAAGGGGATGGTTTACTAGGCAAAATTGGGGATGGTTAAGAGTTGTGTGTAGCCGGCAGAGTTGTGAGATACAAGTGGGAACTTCAATCTAGCTGCTGGTCTTGGACATTCGGTGGTGAACTACGTTCAGTTGCAGCGATTCCACTTCCTAGCAACCCCATCTTTGGTGGTCATTATGAACCTTTTCAAAAGTTAAATCCTCATTTTGCTTGTCTGCCGAGTCATACCACATTTCTGCTACTCGTTAATCTTGTTACTATAAAAATGAACTCCCCTGACATGCAAAACATATTGGTACAAGTTGGTACTGCCAAGATGCACTCCTGGGTCTTTGGGTTGTCATCCTGAGATTCCTTATGAATCCTTCTCATCCTCATGCACATGGATATTTTATGGCTTCAGTCGCCATCTTTTTGCGAAATAAACCATGGCCTAAGATAAGAAAGTGTTCCTGGCTGAGCGTGGGATGATCAACTGATATTGCTTCAAAAATCTTCGCCGTTCCTCATTGGTTCAAACCACATCTGTTGGCAAAGCCCCACTTGTTGAACACCAAATATGTTTTTGCTGCAACCACCTTGCTGATGATTCAATCTGAATTTCTGATGCTTCAATCATGTTCAACCCCATTTGAGGCTTAAGCTCCACTTCTTGATGAAAAATCCCGATGTTTAACAGTTTAACAGTCAACTCCCCATCCTTATCATCCTTGTTGGGGGCACGAGCTGGTTCCCGAAGCCCCAGCAGGTTCGACCGAGCTGCCGAGTCGGGGTTCAGCGACACGGAGTCGATGCCCTGCTCCATGAGCCACTTCGCCAGGTCCGGATGATCCGAGGGACCCTGGCCGCAGATGCCCACGTACCTGGGAGGAGTGGGGCATGTGCCGCATGCCAGGGCAATGTGTGTGGTGGTGATGTTGATGTTGACATATGTTGACTATCATGTCATCCTATCATGTCATCTTATCATCATCTTATCATCATCTTATCATCATCTATCATCATCTATCATCATCTATCATCATCTATCATCATCTATCATCATCTATCATCATCTATCATCATCTATCATCATCTATCATCATCTATCATCATATCATCCGCGCATCTTGCACATAGGACCTATACGAAGGGTGACCTTGAAAGGCTGATTCTGGGAAGCCACCAACATCTCAGGATCTTGTGAATCTTGTGTCACCCTCCACCCATCTGAACAGGCACTTGGGTCGCCCCACTTGCCCTTGGCCTTTGCCGCCTTCAACGTCTCCAAGCCCTTCACTGCAGGGTTTCGCTCATCGAAGTACTGGGCCACCAGCCCTGGAGTTTCAGAATTTCTTGGGGAAACATATGAAACTGTACAGAAACAATTAACAACACACATTTTGGGAGACACAGGAAGTCAACAAAAACCCGCAACTTCACAGCTTCGATCCTTCCGAGATGTCTAGTTTGGTCTCAGATTTCACACCCTCTGAACTTGACACATACAAATCGATCAGGATCTGCAAAACGTGTTTCCCCGATATTTTTTTTCTTGATGGTCTCCTATTGGAGTTCCATGTCAAATTCAGGGCGGCAAAATTCCCAAGATACCCTTCACTTAACTATCTTAACTGACCATACTGACCCTGAAATTTGAAGATACTCACTCAACTGATCATACCTGCCATACCTCTGTAAAAAAATGGCTCATGTTATGCCATATATCTTTGACCCGGGACCCATCCTGCATAGCTTCCATGGCATTCCGAGCTCGCCCCCAACCGGTCGCCTGAGTCACGGTCCAAGCCCAAGGTGAGCTGCGTGAGGTCGTTGCTCCCAACGGAGAAGCCACCGGGCCCGCCGGGTTTCCTGGGGATCCCAAAAAATCCTGGAGAATTTCTGGGTGATGTGAAAATTTGTGGATTTTGATTCATTCATCTTAACTTTATATATATATATATAGAATATATATATATATAGTCAGCAGCGCCCGCTCTGCTCTTTTTACGCTGTGGCAAGGCTTGTCAAGTGCCAGGGTCCAGGTCTATTACCTACGGACCAATGAGTGGCCTGCGCTTCTGCAGGTCACCTGAGTCTCAAACCCATTGGGTTCGGCGCGCCCCCTTCTGGGCAGAAAATTCTCAGGACCACCATTGTCCTGGCACCTCCCATTCACAAGACACAGCAAACCGGCTGGTAAGGGAGGTAGAGGGCGGGATCTCAAAAGGCTGCAGATGGCAGTGCTTCTGCTGTGCTATAGGAACGCTCACTACAGCCAGCTTACGTTACACTGTCATCTATAGTCAGCAGCGCCCGCTCTGCTCTTTTTACGCTGTGGCAAGGCTTGTCAAGTGCCAGGGTCCAGGTCTATTACCTACGGACCAATGAGTGGCCTGCGCTTCTGCAGGTCACCTGAGTCTCAAACCCATTGGGTTCGGCGCGCCCCCTTCTGGGCAGAAAATTCTCAGGACCACCATTGTCCTGGCACCTCCCACTACAAGCACTTCTCGTGGGGCAATGTTTGAAGGAAAGTTAGACGCACTTACCCCCACTTGAAGCACTAAGAAGTGCGCTTCTGACGAAGTTGCTCGCAAAAATGAGAGGCTTTCTCTTGAAAGTGATGAATAAGCTGCAAACTGCGGGCTGAAAATTGCAGTTGCACCAACGACGCTCGACCAGAGTCGAGGTATTGCCTTGCTGTTTTGACGCTTTGCCATCTCCCTGTAACTAGGAGCTGATCAAAGTGTTGACCAGTGGCAAAGGCATGGGATGCACCGCCACGACGGATAGAGTAACCTGTAAATTTTTCTTGCTCCAATTGGAGCACTTCTAACAGGAGAGAAAGCTGCCGGCGGAATTGGTTTGCAGTAAGGTTGAGGAGAGAATCTCCACCGGCTGTGGCGGCCGCGTGGGCGGTTAGACTTGCCAGCAATTGGTCATTCACAGCCACACTTTCCATTTTGTTCTTTGAGGTTTTGGTGGCTGGCAGGGCCAAGATGATTTGGCCATTGAATTCGTGCACTTGTATTTGGGTAAAACGGAGGTTGACCATTTCCCCTGTTCGCAGAAATGCGGTGAAACCCAACAAAAATACCAGGGCCAGGTTAAGCTCCTTGACAGCTAAAGCCACCCCAGCCAAGGCGAGAGCAATGCTCGCAGGCATAGGAACCGCTTGTCGCGGGACATGGATGCTTTTCCAGTTGGAGAAAAATTGCCTGGCCACTGGTAGTCTGTACCGGAGCTGGGGGTAGAAACGACGAAGAGCACTCAAAGTATGGCCGGCATAGGTGATGTTAAAATCATCAAGCCAGAGATGTTCTAGGTATGCAGCCAGTGTCTCATCCAGATCTGGATATCTGGATGGCATGCGTATCTCTTCCTCATCCATCCATTCAAAGAAATGGAGCAAGGCTCTTTGGTAGCTGTGGAGCGACCTCGGTTTCAATCCAACAAAACGCAAAGACATCTCAAGCTCGACGGCTTGGTAGATCAGCGTGATTCCACGCTGACAGAGTCCATATTGGGAAGACATAGAGGTCTGCCATCAGCTGAAGAGCCATTAAACGCTTGAGGAGCCTGTTGATACGCTTTGCAGGGCTGCGTCCTTTTCCAACGGCGTAAAACAACACCTGGGAGTCTACGACGACCATGACCCGCACATGGGTCACCTCTTGTTCCCGAAGGAGGCGGCGGACATGGGCCACGAGGGCTTGGCCCTCCAGTTCATTAATGTGGCTTTCCTGTTTCCATCGGAAACTCAAAGTGTCGCGCCAGAGCCACCGGTAAGCCGGATATGGCAACAGCTCGCGGGCACTGTTGTGCTCGACAAACAGTCTGATGTCGGTGCCTCGATAATGCCCATTTTTCAGGAGGTCGTACAGTGCTTGGCCCTCCTTTCCGGTCGTCAGCTTTTTCTCCAGCTGCAAAATGAGCTGGGCAACCTTCATCTTCAGCTCTTCATCTGTGAAACGTGAATATTTGCTCAGCTCCTTTGCAATGCATTGGACGCGGAAGGCCTCCTCATCGGGCCACTGGTTGGTGTTTTCGAAATGTCGGCGCACCCCCTTTGCATAGGCTTCCACCATGCCGGGCGGGTACTCCGCCGCTTCCTCGGTCGGATAGATTACCCACCCCTCTGAGTCGAAGTAGGGCTGGTAATCTGCATGCATGCCGTGTGGGCAGTCTGGCCTGTGCAGGGCCTCATAGATCGCGGGGCTGTTGGTGAGGACCGCTGTCCACTTCTGTCTTGATCCGCCGAAACAGCAGCTGGAGTACACTGCCATAACCACCCCTGGCCTGGACGCCAACTCCACTGTCTGGCGCATATACCAAAGGAAACTCCTCCAGGGGTGCTCCAATGAGAAGAGCTTGCCAGCATCATCAAGCTCCGCACAGCGGGCCACACTTTTCAATGCCATCTTGTTGCCCTGCCTCACTCGCACGGCCTTCTCTCCGCGCAGGTTGGGAAATCCCATGACGTGGCGTTCATCCCGCAAAGCTGGGGGGCCGTCATACCGCTGGTTCCCAATCCAGAAGGGGCGGCCTCGCGCCCGACTCATGGTCTTACAATCCGGAGCATGGTGCTCCACCTCCACCGGGGAGTCATCAAGGCCCTTCCAGATAGCTTTGCCTTCTTCTGAGAAGAATTCCATCTCAGGCCTTATCTTCAGGTCATACGGCAAAGCCACATCAAATCCTTCTCGGAGCATGGCTTTGCTCAGTGGGCAGTTGCCTCCAGACCACCTCTCGCTGAACAGCGGCAAAGCTTTGCTGTTGCACTCACACGTGTCACGATGCTCTTGATAGCAGTGCAGCGAGCAAACGCGGCTTCCGCATCCGAAGGGGCACTCCATGTCCTCTCCACTTCCAATGGCCTCGCCCATGTCTGAGCGGCAGATGCAACACCAGACCACCTGAGGGTTAGGAGTACCCAGCCGTCGCTTCAGTTGCGTTGCCGTGCATGACCCTGCCCCTGTAGGCGATGCATCAGTGGCACTCAGCTTGCGGTAAATGGGCGCTCTGACACATGTGAACGCCATCGGTACCAGGCCCACCATGCAAGTCATCTCATCTACAACCCGAGGTGTTGGCTTTTGGGTCCCCCTCTGGTGCTTGAACTGCAGAAACACATCCTCTAGAGCCGACAGGATGGGCCGGCGAAAAGCCGCGGCGAACACCAGTCTGCCTAACAATCCTGATGTTGCTTGACCATCCCACTGCTCCTTGCTGAGGAGGTTGAGGACCATGGCGATGTTCATCCTCATCTTTTCTAACTGCAGCATGAACACCCCAGCTCGTGAGCGCAGCTCACCGCCCTGTAAAGAGCCGACCAGTGACCCAGCCAGTGCCTTAGCGGCATTGGTTGGGAGTCCCCTGTCCTCACATGCCTTTTTGAACTTCTTGTGCTCCTCGGAGGCCTCATTTTCATGCACAGCGACCATGGTCTTTGAGACCAGCCTGAGCTGGTCTACAGAGTCCAGGTAGAGAAGCAGCTTGTCTGCCTCAGGGATTTCCTTCCATTTCTGGATCTCTGCTTCTGCAGGCAGTTTGGCAATTTTAAATGCCAGGTGCCGGATCGCGGCCTGCACGACGCCGACCGCGCTGATCCATCCCATGGGCACCGTGCGAAGTGCAACATAAACTGGCTCTTCTCCAGAAAGTCCCAGGCAATGCGCCGGTGCTGTCTTCTCGTACACAAACAGCCCCCGCCAGCCCTCGGGCATCTTGAAAAGGTTGAAGGCGGATGTCATATCCTCAGAATCGACAACAATTTCACATTCATCGGGGATGTGAAGAAGATGCACCTGCCCAACGTACGGGAGGGTGCTTTCGTCCCCCTCAATCTTGCGGCTCACCGCATTTAGCGGGCAGAAGATGGAAATGAAACGTTGCCGCACTTGGCCTCCTTTGGATTTGGGGACGGCTCCTGCTCCGTTCAATATCTTCCTCCCATCCGGGGTGCAGAGGATCTCATTTTCAGGACAATGTTGAAACAGTCCTCTCTTGTAACCTTCTTCAACCAGTTTTGCCACGTTTCATCTGTTGCTCTCACATAGCTCTTAGGGAGCTCCTTGGGCCACTCCTCTGAGGGTAAAATGCTGGCCATCGGAGTCACCACCTGCCTCAGGGTCTCCCCCTCCAGGAAGTCCTGAAGGGGGCAACAGCTGCTTGGCTAGCAGTGGGCCAGCAATCAACTACTTTGTCTGCATCCAGCTCTTCCATGATCACATACGTTGAACCCTCATAGTCCTGCCCTTTGCGCCTCAGCTCTTCTTCAACTTTTGATGAGGGCGGGAGAACCGGATTTCCTTCCAGGAATCTCTCCACTGCGGGCTGGAGATGACTCTTCAGCAGGTGCCGCTGTTTTTCGTTCAGCGTTGTATGATGAATCATATACTTCGGGCTGGAATAACCCGAGCAGAATTGAAAGTTGAATACCATGCAGATAAAGATGACCCAGTCTCGTGTCCCCTCTGGGACGGCGAGGAACTCCTTCACGGCCTCAAGGGAAATGGGGAGTATCTCCCTTCGAGCTCCGGGCTCTGAGGGGGCCACAGCGTGTTTTGCTAATTTCTGTTGAAACTTCCCCAAGGCCGTTCCTTGTTTCTTCAGCAGGTCAATCATTACTGTTCCCACCTGTGAGAAATGAAGTCCTCCCGCCAAGACAGCCTCCCAAGCTTGATGGAAGGACATTCCAGACTCGGCGGATTTGTCTGAGCCATCCATATCTCCACTCTCCTCTTGCCGAGGGTCTTCTTCAGGGATCTCTTCTTTTTCTCTGCTTTCTCTTGGCCCCTGTTCCGGCTCAGGCGGCCGAAGCTTTTTGTTCACGTTTTCTTCTCCGCCGCTTCTTGGGCGGGCGTTTTTGCCTTTCCTTTTCCTTTGCCTTTCTTGCCGCTGCCTTTCCCCTCCTTTCCTTTGGGTGCTGGACTCTCGTCCCATCGCTGGGAGCTCCACGGAGTTCGCCCCCGAAACCGATCCTCGAGCTCGGCCTCCTTGACCATCATTTGTTCTTCTCCTTTGTCGGCCATGCCTGACTCCTCGGCCACGAGCTCCAAAAACTTTGCCTTTTTCCACGTGTTTCCGTCGACCACGGACTGCTCGAGTGCCTTTAATCTTTGAGCGACCAGGTCTGCTGCTGTTGACCCGCGCCCCATTGCCAGCATGTCCAGCACCTCTGACCATATCCTCATCTCCCGTTGGGTGCGCTGGTTCCACCTCTCCTTGAGAGAGGGCACTAGTATGGCCAGGTAGTAGCTCAGGGCGCAGGGAACCACTTTGCTGCCCTTGGTCCCGGTTGGAATTGACGCCCCCTCGAACCTCGTTGCTCGCTCCATGCGTTGCAATAAGCGAGTTGCCAAGCGACCCGGGTGCCGCTGAGCGTACCTCTGCAGCCGGAGATGCAGGGTCAGGCCCGAGGGGGCTTTGCGAAAAGACTGGCTCGATCGGTCACTGGACGAGCTCTCGCCTTCGCTCTCACTTCCACTTTCCTCACGTGGAAGGCGTCTTGTCTCACCTACCCCGAAGGGGCCTTTGTCCCGGTCAAGCCGCTCACGGCCTTTTCTCTTCTTGTCTGACTTTCGGGACTTCTTCTTATCCTTCTTCTCATTGCGCTTCGAGCGCCTTTTCGTGCGCTCCTTTTGGGTCTTCTCTTTGGCCGCCTTGCGCTCCGGCGAAGACGACCTCTCTGATCCAGTCTCAGATCCGCTTTCTCGTTCAGCATCATCAGGGTCCCAGTCGACATCTGAGACTAGGTCCTTCTCTGGATCGAGCCCCCCTTTATCAAAGGGATGAGCGCCCTTCTTCCGCCCATCTTTGTGGCTTCCAGCTGGGGAGCGCTCTTTCTTCCGTTTCTTATCCACCGGGCTTTTCTTGTCCCGGGCATCCTTCAGACTCGCTTTCAACTCCTTCAGCTGTTTCTCCAGCCGACTCACCTTTCTCACCTTTTCACTTTCGGAGTCCTCATCTTTCTTTTGATCCTCGCCCTTCTTGGGGCGGCGCTCCTCGTCATCGCGGCGTTTGCCCAGGTTCAAAATTCCTTGCCTTTGGGTCGCCCAGGGGAGCCCTGATCCAGCGCCACCTCCTTTGTAGAGGTCTTCCTTTTTGAAGTACTGGCTCAAGAGGGCTTTTGCTTCACGCCCATACCCGTCGGGCGCTGTCTCCATGAGTTCCTCCTCTTTCCAAGTTCTCCATTGTCCGATATGGACAGTGACTTCACTCTGCCCTGCAGCCGGGCATTCTCCAGGCACACCCCTGCACAGGTGGTAAGAGCCATCTTTCGTTGTCAGCCGACCTTTCTTAGTGCTGACCCACTCCCTGTATTCCTTGGAGGAGGCACTAATGAAATCACCCAGGATGAAACGGCCGAGGCCTCCTGGGGCGTATATCCTCTTGACTTTTATGTCTTTTGGGCGATGCCAAGCTCCCTTTGCCCCCAACCCACCGCCCTGGCATCAAAGACCGGGGGGGGGCAAGGGGCTTCCTTTCTCCTTTCACCGGTCTGGCCGGGCAAGGTGGGGATTTAGTAGAGCCTCACCTCTTCTCGGGGTAACCCGGCAAGGCTCCACTCGATCTCAAAAGGCTGCAGATGGCAGTGCTTCTGCTGTGCTATAGGAACGCTCACTACAGCCAGCTTACGTTACACTGTCATCTATATCATATCATAATATTATATGACTCCGGTATATTATGATATTTATGATAGATTGGAAGTAATTTCGCTGACATATTTGTTCTAAGAAACGATCGAAAGCGACTAGCACTGTTAGCACAATGTCATAAATCAGCCCTCAAGGAGATGGTTAAGAGTTGTGTATAGCGGGCTATCTGAGTTGCGAGATACAAGTGGGAACTTCCAACTAGCTGCTGGCTGGTCTTGGACATTCGGGATTGGTGAATTATATACGTTCAGTTGCAGTGATTCCACTTCCTAGCAGAGCCTCTACACCCACGACAGCAAAATCATAAAATCATCCAAAGCCTACTGGTTGGATCCTCATCTTTGGTGGTCATTATGAACCTTTTTCAGAAGTTAACTCATCATTTTGCTCGGTCAAACCCTAAGTGGAGTGGTCTCTGTGTAAATGTCATGTCTACACATGTCTGCTACTCGTTAGTCTTGTTACTATATAAATGAACTCCCGTGACATGCAAAAAAACTTGGTACCTTGGTACAAGTTGGTACTGCCAAGATGCGAAGTACTCCAGGAACTCCTCCGCCAAAAAAACGTTGCTGGGCAGCTCTGCCATCATGTTCACCTCCACTGGGATGATCGGTGACTCATCACGGTATCACTTGGGCACCTCCTCACCAGAGTATCTGTCCAATGTTGGCTGTCCAATCAGAATCTTATAGGATAGTTGTATATATATATATATATCGAAATTTTACATAGATAGATGTTGATCCACTGTCTGCATATTAATATAATATAGTATATTTAATATAATTATATATATATATATATATGGATTATTAATTATATGTAGGCTTTATATCTATCAGGCCACTAGAAAAACCCTCTGGCCTTGAGCCCATCTTCACCTCGCTTCAGACCGTTCTTCTCCTGAAAGCTGTGCGCAGGTGGAAAAATGGATCGAATCAACAAACAACGAATTTTAGTCATTTGACAATTGAATGAACGTGAATGATCCAAAATCAATAATCACCTGAAGGATTTGATATCTAAATTTACGTCCAATGGGGCTTTGATTTCTTTTTTGAAAAGTTGACTTAGTTCATGGAAATCGGATCTTTTTGATACCCTCGAGCCGTATTGAAACCTGCTCGTTCACCAGCCGAGACGCCAGCACTTCATTGACGTCCTTGGCCATCGATGCGGACGAAGGGAATCATCATCTCCACATTCTTCAGACCCTCCACGGACCACTGATCAACGACCGAATTTTTCGGGGATCAACTTGGGGGTTTGCCATGGAACCCGATGGAACATGATGGAACTATATTTTGGGGGTGGGCACATGAGACCACCCACAAGAATTGATGGGAAAACATGGAAAAACATGGAAAAACAACAAACCCTTCAAGGCCTTTCAGGCGCTTCGAAGTAGCGATTTCTTTTCGGATTTCCCAAGCGTTGACCATCCAACAAAACACCCTTTCTGAAATTAAAGATGGAACCATCTTGGAGAACTAAGAGCAAAATAACTGCGGAGACAGTTGCCCTTTCAGATCCTTTCAGTATCTGTCAGTGGTGGCACAAGTAAAAAGGAATTTTATGACATATTTCAGATGCTGTTTGCCTGAAGTAAACTAGTTTGCACGTCGAATGCACTTTGCTCGGAAACTTTGGCAGAATCCGGTGAGGGACCAGCGCAGTCTCCTCAGACTCAGAAGCAGGTGGCTTGGCCAACTGCCGTGCTGAATCAACTAGAATCTCAGGGTGAAAAGTTGGTAACTTTTTCATCACCTACTTTTCCATTTCAGTGGTGGCACAGGTAAATCAAATGAGGATTTGCGCATGCCCTGTCCGCAGATCAGCTGAACTGAGTTTGTTGGTCGAATTGCCAGTCTGTGCCACCAAGTCATCGGATTGATTCATTTTGCTGTGCAACTTTGGCAGAAACCGGTAAGGGACCAACGCAGTCTCCTCCCAGAAGTGGCTTGGCCAACTGCCCTGGATCAACGCTGGACCAATCAGAATCCAAAGCGGAAAAGTCAGTGTATTATCTACACCACCTACTGAAGCCACTGGGAGATGTCCACTTCGACTTCAGTGTACGCATAGCCCTTCCGTTCAAGCCATGCTACTTCGGCCTTCTGTGAATTCCCAAGACCTTCAGATGCCTCCATGAAGTGGCGTTCTTCCTCTGGAAGCCACGCCAAAAAGAGCCGTTGCACCTCGCGCGAGTACTGCGAGGAAGAGTCTCCACGTGGGTCTTTCGAAAGGCCTTCAATCCCTTCGTGGCATGCATTGGAGAATGCTTGCGACTGGAGGAAGCGCCGTTTCTTGGCTTGAATGGCTTCTCGCCTCAAGTTCTCTTCACCGGCCGTTGAGAAATCGTTAACTTTCCCTCTGCCCTTCATGCCTTTGAAGAAGTACACTTCCATTTCCGCGCCTTCTCTGCGCGCTCTTTCGATGTTTGCAATCCACTGTGTCCACCAGCCGCAACCCCACGGCTTCTGCTCCCCATAAAGTGGAACGCACCAGCACGTGCCGGGTAGCTTTTCCTCTTCGGGAATTGTGTCGTGGCGGCCGAAATGCTCTGAACCCTCTGGGAGAAAGACCACCGCCGCACTGATGTCGCCAATGCGGCTGCCTGTGACCAGGGCGTCCCAAGCAGACTCGTATTTGCCTGGCCATGAGCAAACACACTTGCCGGTGCCTGGAAGAACTTCGCCTTCAAACACGATGGTCCGCTCAGCAACTGCCTCCTTGTCAAGCCTCTCACCCATCTCGATAAAATGCTCAGAGGAGAAACGCATACACACACACATGAGAGTAGAGATGCAACAGCACGGCAGTCCAGCTGCCAGCACGGCCCACCAGAATCCAGCCATCACAAACCTCACGATGGCTATGATCACAGTAAGGCCGCCCAGGACGAAACAGCCGTAGGGTGCATAGTACGCCAACTTTTTCCATCGTGAACCTGAAAATCTGAGACCAACAGTCTGAGCAATGAAGCTGCAAATGCATAGGCCAACCAGCCCCAGCACCAGTGCCAAGCAACGCAGCTCTGGGGAGGCCTCGTAGTCTTCGGGGTCCTCATACGTCAATAGCACCAGGAAGCTTAAGCAAAATGCTGTGGAGGGGATGCTTAAACACAGACGCCTCAAGCGTTCTTTTTCAAGTTCCTTTTCAATTCTCTTTTTCCGTTCCTGCAGCAGGGACTTCTCTCGTTCCACCTCCTCCTGCTCCTTTTGCAAGAAATCCGCGACCTCAATGCCGAAAGACCCGAAACTCTCCGATGCACGAAGCGCCAAGCCGTCTTCGACCTGCCGAGTCCCAAGAATGCTGGGGTCATCTCTGCAGTGAACTTTCATCAGCTTGTCAGATGCTCCGGTGATGCCGAAGATCCAACTTTTCCCTGGGTAGAGCATCTTGACCTCTTGGTCCAGCGTAACCTCAATGGCTGCTCCCAAGTTGTTCTCAAGCACCACGATGCCATCTTCAGGGCCATCTGGCTCTTTGGCATCTGGAATTCCAGGTAATTCCATGGCGTTGTGGAAGGAACTCATGCTGCTTTGCCCAGCGGCAATGTAGTGACAAAAAAAAGCTATAGTCTAGTAAAACTTCTTTTCATTTTCCAATTCTCTCCAATCTGTGTGTCCTTTAGCCTGTGGCACTCAGTGTGTGTGACCTAGACCCAAGAACCAGAAAGGGCGGCTGGAAATCTAACCTTTCTTCTGGCACAAGTCAAGAGCTGCATGGACCATGCTGAATTTGAAGCAGAAAAACCCTTGGAGTCACCTGGATTCGGGTTCAGATGATTCAGCCTCAACGGAGAGAACGCCCCAATTTCAGACACAGCATACCACGACATGAGGTCAGCTCAACGGAACCAGTGCGTTGCCCCACCTCCAATTCCATGGCGAAGAAGGTTCATTCTGCTCGCCACCAGGCTCTTGTACCTAGAGCCATCAGAAAAGCACGAAAAAACATATTAAAACATGTTTTAGAAAGACTGATGGTTGTTGGCCTGCTGTTGAGATAGTCAGTTGTTGGCATGTGTATGCATGTGTTCCATTTTTGACTTTCTTGAGAGAAAAATTGTTGGGATATATCAAACCGGGTTTTTGGAGTCCATAATCAACGTCCACTCACCATCAGCCATCAGCCACAACTCATGCCTTCTCCATTGGTTGCATCCTCCATCATCCTCCCACCCCAAGTGTTTTGGGGAGTTCCTAGGATTTCCTGATCTTTGCCAGGCTGCTCCGTCACATGTTGTGGTGCGCTGGCCGTCACGATCCGCGGCGAGCTGGGGGCCCTGGGGGCCCTGGGTGCCCTGGGTGCCCTGAGTGCCCTGGGTGCCTGGCAGTCGAATCACTGGCTCTGGTAACATCTGGTAACATGCTATGGGCCATGCTATGGGCTAGACACATAGAAACGTCACATACAAATCATATCAAATTATACGTTGGATACGATAAGATAACAGGAGCAACGCAAATATCTGTGATGTATACTTTGGTGCAATCAGATGGATAGGTATGGAAGTACACATTGTTTCTGGATTGCTGAGATTCTGCACCAATGTACACTTGATACTACTTGATTCCTGACACGTCCAGGATCAGACTCACACTTCACAGGTTACACAACCAGGATGATCTGCTATCGTTTGCTCACAACCTGTACCCGTCTCTCATCAACAGGTTATCAATCTTTGTTCCTTTCCATTCCTTTCCCATCTTTCTCAGCGATTTCCCAAATTTTGCATAACCCACCAAAATGTTGACAAATCTCTGCAATTACACGTCTCAATTTGTAAGGTGAATCACCATGTCTGGTCTGGGTCAAGTTTCGGTTTTTGCGGGTCATCCTACTTTTTCATTATTCAATCCTCATTTTCCTATGTTTTTCCCATGATTTCATGATGATTTACCATGATTTCCCTATGGTTTTCCCATAGTTTCCATGTTTCGCGTTTGCGTCGCCTGCGCCACGACATCTTGTTGTGGACCGCCATGATGCCTCTGGTGACAGATGGGGGAATGAACTTGTAATGGGCGGTTATGGATCTTTGACCAGCAAATACTGGGATTTAACTAGCGAAACACTACGATTTCTAAGGATTGCTTCTTTTGTTCGAAGTTTGTGGAGGTATATGGATGTTTTAACTTTAACTATTGGGATTTCTATGGATTTCCGATCACCTAGAATTGGGGTAAAAGACTCAAGGAACAGGGTTGAAACCAGTGGGAGGCGATCTTCAAGATTTTTGGTTTTGTTTTTCTGATTCGTGTTTAACCACCAAATCATGGACTGAACCACCAAAAGGACCACAAGTGAGACCGTTGATGAGAAGAGAATCGGGTTTAATTAATTCCTGCTCTAAGAACATGTTGAGCCTGGTTGCAATGGTTGAGGCGGCAAGTGGCATTAAAGGGTACTGATTTTAACGAGGAAATGGAGATGGTCTGATCTCCTTTGGTGATTTATGGAGATGTTTCTTCATTTCAGGTGGACTGTGTCAACGATGCAGCACATGTATTTGGTTGCTCTGAATGTTAAAAATAGAAGGGGTTCCAGGGTTCCAGGTAGCAAACTCATCGAGCTGCACTACGGAACATGGCCGTTGCCAAATCCAGCGGATTTTTGTGTTTTCACAGGTGAAAAGCACCACAAAGATCGATTCGAAAGGTCCCCAGATGTAAACAGAACAGTCAACCCATGTCTTGATGATTAACTGATTAACTTATCTTTCCATCTGTCAGGGGACCCTTTTAAAGAATTATGTAAGTCGTATCCGGCCCCAACGGCAATGGAGTCTCACCTCTGCACCACAATCCAACGTGCAGATACCCCAACTTTCGCGGCCGGTGGATTTCCGAACTTCGAGCCAAAATCATGGTCCGGCAACGAAACATCTGTGGAAAACCTCCAAAAAATTGGTGTCTTGGGAATATCTTAAAGCAGACTGAGTACAGTATACTATCCCGTGAAATCCAGTGAATGTACAATCTGTTGAATATGGGCTTCAAAGCCGGATTCCTCTTGTTTCAGCTTCCCCATGGCTTCAGTGTTCACTCCTCTCGGAGAGAACTGCACTGAGACTCCAAAGAATCAACACCACTTCAGGCTCGTTGGTTGCCCTATTTGCGACCATTTTGGGCATGGCAGCAGGTCGTAGTTCCACCCCATCCGCAGCGCAGACTGGCAGAAGTTTTGATCCATCCATCACGGTAAATCGAGAGCATCGCTCAAGACATTTGCAGGTCACACTCCAAATTGACATCAGCGCCTTGCATTGTTGGAGAGGTATGTAGCATTATGTAGCCATTTACACTAAGAATGTGAAAGTTGAACCACCATCCGATTTCAAAGACTTCCGCGCACAATAGAGGACGCTATTTGGAGTCCAAGAAGCTCATAAGACTGCCCAAGATAGCCGCCTCTGAACACCAATTCCATTTAAACTTTGTGACCAGATTAAAATCACATCATCTTTGAGCTGGTAAAAGCCCAGATTTTTTCTGAGATCAGCAAGCTGAGACTGCTTGGGCTGGCAAGCATCAACATTCAACTGTGGGGTTATAATTGGGTACTTGTATATGGGATTATGTCCCCATTTATGAGGGTTTAATCGTGGGATATCCAGGGAAATTCCATCCATTGGCAAATTGGTCGAAGTTCCATTCGCACATCTGGCAGCATCACAGACAGCTTTGCCGGTGTCGGCCCTTTCAAGCTAATCCCAAAAGCACCAGGTGGTTGGATTTATGATGTGTTGGACGTCTTGGATGTCTTGGACGTCTTGGATGACTTGGATGTCTTGGATGTCTTGGATGTCTTGGATGTCTTGGATGTCTTGGACGTCTTGGATGACTGGTGTTGGATCTTTTCTTTCAGACTCCAGGTCTCAATTGGCATAGCTTGGTGTAGCTTGAAACACATCATCCCCCTGGCCATTGCTCCGTGGTCATCTTGAGCCGACTGGAGATGGACAGAGATCCGGACCACCAGGGAGCACGAAGACCGGACCGGTCCCTCACTTTGCCAAGAGCTGCCAGGTTGGAATGACCTGGAAACATATCGCGGATGAAGACACAAGAGCGACCGGGTTGTACCATTTCGTTTTTGGATCTTGATATATGGTTCCGATCTGGCTGAGGCGCAACTATTCCCAAAGCTGAACTGCCCATTTTTTTCGTTGACTCCTGGGTCTTGGGGTTGTCATCCTGAGATTGCTTATGATTCCTTATCATCCTCATGCACATGGATATTTTATTGCTTCAATCGCCATCTTGTTGCGGAAATAAATCATTTCCTGAGTAAGATAAGAAAGTGTTCCTGGCTGAGCGTGGGATGGTCAACTGATATTGCTTCAAAAATATTCACCGTTCCTTATATACTGGTTCAAACCACATCATCTGTTGGCAAAACCCCACTTGTTGAAAACCAAATATTTAACAATCGAATGAAATTAAACGATCTAATTTCAACCATCAAATCCGCAAAGTCGTGGTTTCTTGTGACCCCCGAGGCATTTGGCCGTCTGTTTTGAAGCCTTGAAGCCTGCGTGCGGTTCACCAGCCGAGACACCAGCACTTCATTGACGTCCTTGGCCATCTCCAGGGTGCGGACGAAGGGAATCATGTCCACATTCTTCAGACCCATCTCTCCGCGGACCATCTTCACAGCCTGATGCTCTGATCAACGACCGAATTTTTCGGGGATCAACTTGGGGGTTTGCCATGGAACCCGATGGAACATGATGGAACTATATTTTGGAGGTGGGTACATGAGATTACCCACAAGAATTTGATGGAAAAACATGGGAAAACATGGAAAACAACAAACCCTTCAAGGCCTTTCAGGCGCTTCGAAGAAACGATTTCTTTTCGGATTTCCCAAGCTTTGACCATCCAACAAAACCTGGCCCTTTCTGAAATTAAAGATGGAACAATCTTTCCCACAGAAAGGGGGTATAGGAGAACAAAGAGCAAAATAACTGCGGAGACAGTTGCTCCTTTCAGATCCTTTCAGTATCTTTCAGTGGTGGCACACGCAAAAAGGATTTTTTATGACATATCTCAGATGCTGTTTGTCACCTGAAGTGAATTAGTTTGCATGTCGAATTCATTTTGCTCGGAAACTTTGGCAGAAACTGGTGAGGGACCAGCGCAGTTTCCTCAGACTCAGAAGCAGGTGGCTTGGCCAACTGCCGTGCTGAATCAACTAGAATCTCAGGGTGAAAAGTTGGTAACTTTTTCATCACCTACTTTTCCATTTCAGTGGTGGCACAGGTAAATCAAATGAGGATTTGCGCATGCCCTGTCCGCAGATCAGCTGAACTGAGTTTGTTGGTCGAATTGCCAGTCTGTGCCACCAAGTCATCGGATTGATTCATTTTGCTGTGCAACTTTGGCAGAAACCGGTAAGGGACCAACGCAGTCTCCTCCCAGAAGTGGCTTGGCCAACTGCCCTGGATCAACGCTGGACCAATCAGAATCCAAAGCGGAAAAGTCAGTGTATTATCTACACCACCTACTGAAGCCACTGGGAGATGTCCACTTCGACTTCAGTGTACGCATAGCCCTTCCGTTCAAGCCATGCTACTTCGGCCTTCTGTGAATTCCCAAGACCTTCAGATGCCTCCATGAAGTGGCGTTCTTCCTCTGGAAGCCACGCCAAAAAGAGCCGTTGCACCTCGCGCGAGTACCCAGAGGAAGAGTCTCCACGTGGGTCTTTCGAAAGGCCTTCAATCCCTTCGTCGCATGCGTTGGAAAATGCTTGCGAATGGAAGAAGTCTTGTTTCTTGGCTTGAATGGCTTCTCGTCTCAAGTGCTCTTCGCCGGCCGTTGAGAAATCCTCAACTTTACCTCTACCCTTCATGCCTTTGAAGAAGTAAACCTCCATTTCAGCGCCTTCCCTGCGTGCACTTTCGATGTTTGCTATCCACTTTGTCCACCAACGGCAACCCCACGGCTTTGGCTCCCCATAAAGGGGAACGCACCAGCAGCTGCCCTGTAGCTTTTCCCCTTTGGGGATAGCGTCGTGGCGGCCGAAATGCTTTGAACCCTCTGGGAGAAAGACCACCGCTGCACTGATGTCGCCACTGCGGCTGCCTGTGACCAGGGCGTCCCAAGCAGACTCGTACTTGCCTGGCCATGAGCACACACATTTGCCGGTGCCTGGACGAACTTTGCCTTCGAACACAATGGTCCGATTGGCAACTGCCTCCTTGTCAAGCCTCTCACCCATCTCGATAAAATGCTCAGAGGAGAAACGCATACACACACACACATGAGAGTAGAGATGCAACAGCACGGCAGTCCAGCTGCCAGCACGGCCCACCAGAATCCAGCCATCACAAACCTCACGATGGCTATGGTCACAGTAAGGCCGCCCAGGACGAAACAGCCGTAGGGTGCATAATACGCCAACTTTTTCCATCGTGAACCTGAAAATCTGAGACCAGCAGTCTGAGCAATGAAGCTGCAAATGCATAGGCCAACCAGCCCCAGCACCAGTGCCAAGCAATGCAGCTCTGGGGAGGCCTCGTAGTCTTCGGGGTCCTCATAAGTCAATAGCACCAGGAAGCTTAAGCAAAATGCTGTGGAGGGGATGCTTAAACACAGACGCCTCAAGCGTTCTTTTTCAAGTTCCTTTTCCACTCTCTTTTTCCGTTCCTGCAGCAGGGACTTCTCTCGTTCCACCTCCTCCTGTTCCTTATGCAAGAAATCCACGACCTGAACGCCGAAAGACCCGAAACTCTCCGATGCACGAAGCGTCAAGCCGTCTTCGACCTGCCGAGTCCCAAGAATGCTGGGGTCATCCCTGCAGTGAACTTTCATCAGCTTGTCAGATGCTCCGGTGATGCCGAAGATCCAACTTTTCCCTGGGTAGAGCATCTTGACCTCTTGGTCCAGCGTAACCTCAATGGCTGCTCCCAAGTTGTTCTCAAGCACCACGATGCCATCTTCAGGGCCATCTGGCTCTTTGGCATCTGGAATTCCAGGTAATTCCATGGCGTTGTGGAAGGAACTCATGCTGCTTTGCCCAGCGGCAATGTAGTGACAAAAAATTAGCTAGTCTATTAAAACTTCTTTTCATTTTCCAATTCTCTCCAATCTGTGTGTCCTTTAGCATGTGGTACTCAGTGTGTGTGACCTAAACCCAAGAACCAGAAAGGGCGGGTGGAAATCTAACCTTTTTTCTGGCACAAGTCAAGAGCTGCATGGACCATGCTGAATTTGAAGCAGAAAAACCCTTGGAGTCACCTGGATTCGGGTTCAGATGATTCAGCCTCAACGGAGAGAACGCCCCAGTTTCAGACACAGCATACCACGACATGAGGTCGGCTCAACAACGGAACCAGTGCGTTGCCCCACCTCCAATTCCATGGCGAAGAAGGCAGCCGACCGCAGCCGCCGAAACCGATCATGTGATTCTCGTCTTCGGGTTCATTCTCGCCACCAACCAGGCTCTTGTACCTAGAACCATCAGAAAAGAATGAAAAAACATATCAAAACATATGGTTTAGAAAGACTGATGGTTGGTGGGATGCTGTTGAGATAGTCAGTTGTTGGCATTTGTGTGCATGTGTTTCATTCTTGACTTTCTTGAGAAAAGATGTTGGGATATATCAAACCTGGTTTTTGGAGCCCATAATCAACATCAAATCACCATCAGCCATAACTCATGCCTTCTCCATTTGTTGCATCCTCCCACCGCAAGTGATTTGGGGAGTTCCCGATATTTCCTGATCTTTGCCAGGCCGCTCCGTCACATGTTGTAGAGCGCTGGCCGTCACGATCCGCGGCGAGCTGGGGGCCCTGGGGGTTTTGGGTGCCCTGGGTGCCTGGCAGTCAAATCACTGGCTCATGGTAACATCTGGTAACATGCTATGGGCTAGGCACATATAGAAACCTCCAAATCAAATCAGATTCTACGTTGGATATTTTATATAGATAACAGGAGCAACGCAAATATCTGTGATGTATACTTTGGTACACTCAGATGGATAGGTATGGAAGTACACAGCGTTTCTTATTCAGAATGAAAATTGCCGAGATTCTGCACCAATGTACACTTGATATTACTTGATTCCTGACACGTCCAGGATCAGACTCACAGTTCACAGGTTGTGTAAACCAGGATGATCTGCTATCGTTTGCTCACAACCTGTACCCGTCTCTCATCAACAGGTTATCAATCTTTGTTCCTTTCCATTCCTTTCCCATCTTTCTCAGCGATTTCCCAAATTTTGCATAACCCACCAAAATGTTGACAAATCTCTGCAATTACACGTCTCAATTTGTAAGGTGAATCACCATGTCTGGTCTGGGTCAAGTTTCGGTTTTTGCGGGTCATCCTACTTTTTCATTATTCAATCCTCATTTTCCTATGTTTTTCCCATGATTTCATGATGATTTACCATGATTTCCCTATGGTTTTCCCATAGTTTCCATGTTTCGCGTTTGCGTCGCCTGCGCCACGACATCTTGTTGTGGACCGCCATGATGCCTCTGGTGACAGATGTGGGAAATGTACCTATTTGTTTGATGAACTTGTAATGGGCGGTTATGGATCTTTGACCAGCAAATACTGGGATTTAACTAGCGAAACACTACGATTTCTACGGATTTCTTCTTTTGTTCGAAGTTTGTGGAGGTACATGGATGTTTTAACTTTAACTATTGGGATTTCTATGGATTTCCGATCACCTAGAATTGGGGTAAAAGACTCAAGGAACAGGGTTGAAACCAGTGGCAGGCGATCTTCAAGACTTTTGGTTTTGTTTTATGATTCTATGATTCTATGGTGTTTAACCACCAAATCATGGAATGAACCACCAAAAGGACCACAAGTGAGACCGTTGATGAGAAGAGAATCGGGTTTAATTAATTCCTGTTCTAAGAACATGTTGAGCCTGGTTGCAATGGTTGAAGCGGCAAGTGGCATTTAAGGGTACTGATTTTAACGAGGAAATGGAGATGGTCTGATCTCCTTTGGTGATTTATGAAGATGTTTCTTCATTTCAGGTGGACTGTGTCAACGATGCAGCACATGTATTTGGTTGCTCTGAATGTTAAAAATAGAAGGGGTTCACGGGTTCCAGGCTTCCAGGTAGGACACAAGTAGCAAACTCATCGGGCTGCACTACGGAACATGGCCGTTGCCAAATCCAGCGGATTTTTGTGTTTTCACAGGTGAAAAGCACCACAAAGATCGATTCGAAAGGTCCCCGGATGTAAACAGAACAGTCAACCCATGTCTTGATGATTAACTGATTAACTTATCTTTCCATCTGTCAGGGACCCCTAAAGAATCCTATGTAAGTCCTATCCAGCCCCAACGGCAATGGAGTCTCACCTCTGGACCACAATCCAACGTGCAGATCCCCCAATCTTCGCGGCCGGTGCATTTCCGAATTTCGAGCCAAAATAATGGTCCGGCAACGAAACATCTGCGGAAAACCTCCAAAAAATTGGTGTCTTGGGAATATCTTAAAGCAGACTGAGTACAGTATACTATCCCGTGAAATCCAGTGAATGTACAATCTGTTGAATATGGGCTTCAAAGCCGGATTCCTCTTGTTTCAGCTTCCCCATGGCTTCAGTGTTCACTCCTCTCGGAGAGAACTGCACTGAGACTCCAAAGAATCAACACCACTTCAGGCTCGTTGGTTGCCCTATTTGCGACCATTTTGGGCATGGCAGCAGGTCGTAGTTCCACCCCATCCGCAGCGCAGACTGGCAGAAGTTTTGATCCATCCATCGCGGTAAATCGAGAGCATCGCTCATGACTCAAGACATTTGCAGGTCAGACTCCAAATTGACATCAGCGCCTTGCATTGTTGGAGAGGTATGTAGCATTATGTAGCCATTTACACTAAGAATGTGAAAGTTGAACCACAATCCGATTTCAAAGACTTCCGCGCACAATAGAGGACGCTATTTGGAGCCCAAGAGGCTCATAAGACTGCCCAAGATAGCCGCCTCTGAACACAAATTCCATTTAAACTTTGTGACCAGATTAAAATCACATCATCTTTGAGCTGGTAAAAGCCTAGATTTTTTCTGAGATCAGCAAGCTGAGACTGCTTGGGCTGGCACCTGTGAACTTTCAAAAGGGTCCAGGGTACCGAAGCATGGCCTCGAGGATCGAAAATCAAGCCACACACGCAGTGCTTAGCACGGGCAAGAGGTGGCAAGAGGCGTGGCCCGGGTGCTGCAAGCATCAACATCAACTGTGGGGTTATAATTGGGTACTTGTATATGGGATTATGTCTTCATTTATGAGGGTATTATGAGGGTTTAATCGTGGGATATCCAGGGAAATTCCATCCATTGGCAAATTGTGGTCGAAGTTCCATTCGCACATCTGGCAGCATCACGGACAGTTTGCCGGTGTCGGCCCTTTCAAGCTAATCCCAAAAGCACCAGGTGGTTGGATTTATGATGTGTTGGATGTCTTGGATGTCTTGGACGTCTTGGATGACTTGGATGTCTTGGATGTCTTGGATGTCTTGGATGTCTATGGATGTCTTGGATGTCTTGGATGTCTTGGATGTCTTGGATGACTTGGATGTCTTGGATGTCTTGGATGTCTTGGATGTCTTGGATGTCTATGGATGTCTTGGATGTCTTGGATGTCTTGGATGTCTTGGATGACTTGGATGTCTTGGATGTCTTGGATGTCTTGGATGTCTTGGATGTCTATGGATGTCTTGGATGACTTGGATGTCTTGGATGTCTTGGATGACTTGGATGTCTTGGATGTCTTGGATGTCTTGGATGTCTTGGATGTCTTGGATATCTTGGACGTCTTGGATGACTTGGATGTCTTGGATGTCTTGGATGTCTTGGATGTCTTGGATGTCTTGGATGTCTTGGATGTCTTGGATGTCTTGGATGCCTTGGATGTCTTGGACGCCTTGGATGACTTGGATGTCTTGGATGTCTGGATGCCTTGGATGTCTTGGATGTCTTGGATGTCTGGATGCCTTGGATGTCTTGGATGTCTTGGATGTCGTGGATGTCTTGGATGTCTTGGATGTCTACGGATGTCTTGGATGTCTTGGATGTCTTGGATGTCTTGGATATCTTGGACGTCTTGGATGACTTGGATGTCTTGGATCTCTTGGATGTCTTGGATGTCTTGGATGTCTTGGATGTCTTGGATGTCTTGGACGCCTTGGATGACTTGGATGTCTTGGATGTCTGGATGCCTTGGATGTCTTGGATGTCTTGGATGTCTTGGATGTCTTGGATGTCTTGGATGTCTTGGACGTCTTGGATGACTTGGATGTCTTGGATGTCTTGGATGTCTTGGATGTCTTGGATGTCAATGGATGTCTTGGATGTCTTGGATATCTTGGATGTCTTGGATATCTTGGTCGTCTTGGATGTCTTGGATGTCTTGGATGTCTTGGATGTCTTGGATGTCTTGGATGTCTTGGATGTCTTGGATGTCTTGGATGCCTTGGATGTCTTGGACGCCTTGGATGACTTGGATGTCTTGGATGTCTGGATGCCTTGGATGTCTTGGATGTCTTGGATGTCTTGGATGTCTTGGACGTCTTGGATGACTGGTGTTGGATCTTTTCTTTCAGACTCCAGGTCTCAATTGGCATAGCTTGATGTAGCTTGAAACACATCATCCCCCTGGCCATTGCACCGTGGTCATCTTGAGCCGACTGGAGATGGACAGAGATCCGGACCACCAGGGAGCACGAAGACCGGACCGGTCCCTCACTTTGCCAAGAACTGCCAGGTTGGAATGACCTGGAAACATATCGCGGATGAATATGGGTGAGGCATAACTATTCCCAAAGCTGAACTGCCCATTTTTTTCGTTGACTCCTGGGTCTTTGGGTTGTCATCCTGAGATTCCTTATGAATCCTTCTCATCCTCATGCACATAGATATTTTATGGCTTCAGTCGCCATCTTTTTGCGAAATAAATTATTGCCTAAGATAAGAAAGTGTTCCTGGCTGAGCGTGGGATGATCAACTGATATTGCTTCAAAAATCTTCACCGTTCCTCATTGGTTCAAACCACATCTGTTGGCAAAGCCCCACTTGTTGAACACCAAATATGTGTTTGCTTCAACCACCTTGTTGATGATTCAATCTGAATTTCTGATGCTTCAATCATGTTCAACCTCCGTTCTTTGAGGCTTAAGCTCCACTTCTTGATGAAAAACCCCGATGTTTAACAGTTAAACAGTTTAACAGTCAACTCCCCATCCTTATCATCCTTGTTGGGGGCACGAGCTGGTTCCCGAAGCCCCAGCAGGTTCGACCGAGCTGCCGAGTCGGGTTCAGTGACACGGAGTCGATGCCCTGCTCCATGAGCCACTTCACCAGGTCCGGATGATCCGAGGGACCCTGGCCGCCGATGCCCACGTACCTGGGAGGAGTGGGGCATGTGCCGCATGCCAGGGCAATGTGTGTGGTGGTGATGTTGACATATTTTGACTATTCATGTCATCCTATCATCATCTATCATCATCTATCATCATATCATCCGCGCATCTTGCACATAGGACCTATACGAAGGGTGACCTTGAAAGGCTGATTCTGGGAAGCCACCAACATCTCAGGATCTTGTGAATCTTGTGTCATCCTCCACCCATCTGAACAGGCACTTGGGCCGCCCCACTTGCCCTTGGCCTTTGCCGCCTTCAACGTCTCCAAGCCCTTCACTGCAGGGTTTCGCTCATCGAAGTACTTGGCCACCAGCCCTGGAGTTTCAGAATTTCTTGGGGAAACATATATGAAACTGTACAGAAACAAATAAATTAACAACAAACATTTTGGGAGATGATCCATACAGGTGGGAAGTCAACAAAAACCCGCAACTTCACAGCTTGGACCCTTCCGATCTGAGATGTCTGGGCTCAGACTTCACACATCTTCACACCCTCTGAACTTGACAGATACAAATGGATACGAATGGATCAGGATCTGGAAAATGTGTTTTCCCGATATTTTTTTCTTGATGGTCTCCTACTGGAGTTCCATGTCAAATTCAGGGCGGCAAAATTCCCAAGATACCCTTCACTTAACTCTCTTAACTGACCATACTGACCCTGAAATTTGAAGATACTCACTCAACTGATCATACCTGCCATAGCTCTGTATAAAAATGGGTCATTCTATGCCATCTTTGACCCGGGACCCATCCTTCATGGCTTCCATGGCACTCGGAAGCCCCTAACCGGTCGCCTGAGTCACGGTCCAAGCCCAAGGTGAGCTGCGTGAGGTCGTTGCTCCCAATGGAGAAGCCATCCTCGGCCGCGGTTCACCGGGCCGGGATCCCAAAAAATCTGGGTGATGTGAAAATTTGTGGATTTTGATTCATTCATCTTAACTTTATGTATACCTTACAAATCCAAAACCGAAGTTTTTCTAGGGTTTGCTCAAATACCCGGGGTTTACACACAAAACCCGAGGTTTTCCAAAACCTCATAATTTTTGAAGTCTGATTGTTGTTTTGAATTCCATGCTGGATCAAGTCCGCATGCTGATGCGTTTTTTTTTCCTGGCAAAACTCACCGTTTTTGCATGTCAGACACAGTTGGCCATGAGCTGGCTGGCACAACCACGCTTGCTACCCCATCCACTTTCCAAAAGGTTATGTGTTTTCTGCCGATGCCCCTTCACAAATCACGTTCAAACCGTTGAAAATCCAGTGAAATCTCAACCATCTAAACCCGTACAAAAAGTACGGGTTAGTACGGGTTTAGTACGGGTTCAGTACGGGTTTAAAAAACCCGAGGTTTTTGCAAAGACCTAGGGTTTTCCCAGAAATACTACGGGTTAGTACGGGTGTACTACGGGTTTAGTACGGGTTGAGTACGGGTTTGAACAAACCCGAACCTTTCCCCATCAAAAACAAATAAATTAAGATAACATTGGTATATAACTATCTCCTGAACTTGAACGGTAATGGCATGTATGGGTTTGGTAGTTGGGTTACTGTATATTTTTCAATGATCACCCCATTAGTTATCTCCAATCCAAAAAACGAACCATGTTGATATATCGTGCTACATTCCAGTGAGGAAACCCACAAAAGGCTACAAAAATGACACCCGAACATTATCAGAAGTGGTTTGCCGAGGCCTGAGCAGGGGGCAAGGGAGAAACCCGAGGTTTTCTAACTAAACCCGAGGTTTTCCATGAATTCCTGGAATACCCGAGGTTTATATTTAAACCCTAAGAAAAGTCAGGGTTAAGGTTTACTAGGTATATGTATATATATGAGCGATTGTGAAAACCCTAGGTTCACGGAAAGGACATTCACAAATTTGGGAAGGTCCCATCGCTTACCACACGTTTGTACAATAATGATATATGGTAAACTTGGGGGGTATCGCTTGCAGGAAACTGCTGTATTTATATATATATATATGATGAACTATGAATAATATGTGATATTTGGGTATCGCTAATGTGGATATTAGAGAAATATGATGACATAACCTTGAAAAGGGGTATCGCTAATTTGGGAAGGTCCCATCGCTTACCTCGTGTTTTTAACAATTTCCATCAATTTCCATAAGCCAATGTCCGTCGAATACATATTTAGTATTGCCGGGGTTTTTACGGTTGCTCATATATATATATATATATCATATCATATCATAATATTATATGACTCCGGCATATTATGATATTTATGATAGATTGGAAGTCATTTCACTGACATATTTGTTCTAAGAAATGATCGAAAGCAACTAGCACTGTTAGCACAATGTCATAAATCAGCCCTTAAGGAGATGGTTAAGAGTTGTGTATAGCGGGCTATCTGAGTTGCGAGATACAAGTGGGAACTTCCAACTAGCTGCTGGCTGGTCTTGGACATTCGGGATTGGTGAATTATATACGTTCAGTTGCAGTGATTCCACTTCCTAGCAGAGCCTCTACACCCACGACAGCAAAATCATAAAATCATCCAAAGCCTACTGGTTGGATCCTCATCTTTGGTGGTCATTATGAACCTTTTTCAGAAGTTAACTCATCATTTTGCTTGGTCAAACCCTAAGTTGGAGTGGTCTCTGAGTAAATGTCATGTCTACACATGTCTGCTACTCGTTAGTCTTGTTACTGTATAAATGAACTCCCGTGACATGCAAAACATATTGATACAAGTTGGTACTGCCAAGATGCAAAGTACTCCAGGAACTCCTCCGCCAAAAAAAAAGTGGGCAGCTCTGCCATCATGTTCACCTCCGCTGGGATGATCGGTGACTCATCACGGTATCACATGGACACCTCCTCACCAGAGTATCTGTCCAATGTTGGCTGTTAGAATCTTATAGGATAGTTGTATATATATATATATATATATCGAAATTTTACATAGATAGATGTTGACCACCTGTCTGCATATTAATATAATTATATATATATGGATTATTAATTATATGTAGGCTTTATATCTATCAGGCCACTAGAAAAACCCTCTGGCCTTGAGCCCATCTTCACCTCGCTTCAGACCGTTCTTCTCCTGAAAGCTGTGCGCAGGTGGAAAAATGGATCGAATCAACAAACAACGAATTTTAGTCATTTGACAATTGAATGAACGTGAATGATCCAAAATCAATAATCACCTGAAGGATTTGATATCTAAATTTACGTCCAATGGGGCTTTGATTTCTTTTTTGAAAAGTTGACTTAGTTCATGGAAATCGGATCTTTTTGATACCCTCGAGCCGTATTGAAACCTGCTCGTTCACCAGCCGAGACGCCAGCACTTCATTGACGTCCTTGGCCATCGATGCGGACGAAGGGAATCATCATCTCCACATTCTTCAGACCCTCCACGGACCACTGATCAACGACCGAATTTTTCGGGGATCAACTTGGGGGTTTGCCATGGAACCCGATGGAACATGATGGAACTATATTTTGGGGGTGGGCACATGAGACCACCCACAAGAATTTGATGGGAAAACATGGAAAAACATGGAAAAACAACAAACCCTTCAAGGCCTTTCAGGCGCTTCGAAGTAGCGATTTCTTTTCGGATTTCCCAAGCGTTGACCATCCAACAAAACACTCTTTCTGAAATTAAAGATGGAACCATCTTGGAGAACTAAGAGCAAAATAACTGCGGAGACAGTTGCCCCTTTCAGATCCTTTCAGTATCTGTCAGTGGTGGCACAAGTAAAAAGGATTTTGATGAAATATTTCAGATGCTGTTTGTCACCTGAAGTGGTGAAGTGAATTAGTTTGCATGTCGAATGCATTTTGCTCGGAAACTTTGGCAGAAACCGGTGATGGACCAGCGCAATCTCCTCAGACTCAGAAGCAGGTGGCTTGGCCAACTGCCGTGCTGAATCAACTAGAATCTCAGGGTGAAAAGTTAAAGTTGGTAACTTTTTCATCACCGACTTTTCCATTTCAGTGGTGGCACAGGTAAATCAAATGAGGATTTGCACATGCCCTGTCCGCGCGTCAGCTGAACTGAGTTTGTTGGTCGAATTGCCAGTCTGTGCCACCGAGTCATCGGATTGATTCATTTTGCTGTGAAACTTTGGCAGAAACCGGTAAGGGACCAACGCAGTCTCCTCCCAGAAGTGGCTTGGCCAACTGCCCTGGATCAATGCTGGACCAAATAGAATCCAAAGCGGAAAAGTCAATGTATTATCTACACCACCTACTGAAGCCACTGGGAGATGTCCACTTCCACCTCTGTGTACGCATAGCCCTTCCGTTCAAGCCATGCTACTTCGGCCTTCTGTGAATTCCCAAGACCTTCAGATGCCTCCATGAAGTGGCGTTCTTCCTCTGGAAGCCACGCCAAAAAGAGCCGTTGCACCTCGCGCGAGTACTGCGAGGAAGAGTCTCCACGTGGGTCTTTCGAAAGGTCTTCAATCCCTTCGTGGCATGCGTTGGAAAATGCTTGCGAATGGAAGAAGTCCTGTTTCTTGGCTAGAATGGCATCTCGCCTCAAATGCTCTGCACCAGCCGTTGAGAAATCCTGAACTTTCCCTTTACCCTTCATGCCCTTGAAGAAGTAAACCCCCATTTCCGCGCCTTCCCCATGCGCTCTTTCAATGTTTGCAATCCACTTTGTCCACCAACGGCAACCCCACGGCTTTGGCTCCCCATAAAGGGGAACGCACCAGCAGCTGCCCTGTAGCCTTTCCTCTTCCGGGATGACGTCGTGGCTGCCGAAATCCTTTGAACCCTTGGGCAGGAAGACCACTGCTGCACTAATGTCGCCACTGCGGCTGCCTGTGACCAGGGCGTCCCAAGCAGACTCGTACTTGCCTGGCCATGAGCACACACATCTGCCGGTACCTGGACGAACTTTGCCGTGAAACACTATGGTCCGATTGGAAACTGACTTCTTCTCAGACCTCTCAGCATCTTTGATAGCCTCCTCGAAGGAGCCGCCCCAGCACGCCAGACCCGCCCAAGTAGACATGCAACAGCACGGCAGCCCAGCTGCCAGCACGGTCCACCAGAATCCAGCCATCACATACCTCACAATGGCTATCGTCACAGTAACGCTGCCCAGGAAGCAACAGCCGAAGGGTGCATAATATGCCAACACTTTCTGACGTGGACCTGGACATCTGAGACTAGCAGTCTGAGCAGTGAAGCTGCAACAGGACAAAACAGCCAGCGACAGCACCAGGCCCAAGCACAGCACCGCTGCGGAGTCAACGTCCTCGGGGTCCAAACACGTCAATAGCACCAGGACGACCAAGAACACTGCTGTGCAGAGGAAAAACAAGGGGAAGCAGCCATAACCAATAATCAGGTGTAGAATTTCAAGTTGCCCTTCCATTCTCTTTTTCCGTTCCTGCTGCAGGGACTTCTCTCGATCCACCTCCTCCCGATCCTTTTGCAAGAAATCAAAGACCTCAATGCCGAAAAAACCGAAACTCTCCGATCCACGAAGCGTCGAGCTGTCTTCGACGCGCCGAGTCCCGAAGATGCTGGGGGAATCCCTGCAGTGAACTTTCATCAGCTTGTCAGATGCTCGGGTGATGTCGAAGCTCCAACTTTTCCGTGGGTAGAGCACCTTCAACTCTTGGTCCAACGTCACCTCAATGGCTGCTCCCAAGTCGTTCTCAAGCACCACGATGCCATCTTCAGGGCCATCTGGCTCTTTGGCATCTGGAATTCCAGGTAATTCCATGGCGTCGCGGAAGGAACTGATGCTGCTTTGCCCAACGGCAATGTAATGACAAAAAATTAGCTAGTCTATTAAAACTTATTTTTCATTTTCTCTCCAATCTGTGTGTCCTTTAGCCTGTGGTACTCAGTGTGTGTGTGTGTGTGACCTAAACCCGAACAAGAAAAGGCGGGTGGAAATCTGACCTTTTTTCTGTCACAAGTCGTTGCATGGACAATGCTGAATTTGAAGCAGAAAAACCCTTGGAGTCACCTGGATTGGAGTTCAGATGATTCAGCCTCAACGGAGAGAACGCCCCAGTTTCAGACACTGCATGCCACGACATGAGGTCAGCTCAACGGAACCGTCCCTGCCCCACCTCCAATTCTGTGGCGAAGAAGGCATCCGTCCACAGCGGAAACCGATCATGGGCTTCTCGTCTTCGGGTTCATTTTTCTCGCCACCAGGCTCTTGTACCTAGAACCATCAGAAAAGCATGAAAAACACATCAAACATGGTTTAGAAAGATTGATGGTTGTTGGCCTGCTGTTGAGATAGTCAATTTTTGGCATTTGTGTGCATGTGTTCCATTCTTGACTTTCTTGAGAGATAAAATGTTGGGATATATCAAACCTGGTGTTTGGAGTCCAGAATCAACATCAATTCACCGCTATCAGCCATAACTATCCATAACCCATTTCTTCTCCATTTGTTGCATCCCACCCAAAGTGTTTTGGGGAGTTCCCGATATTTCCTGATCTTTGCCAGGCTGCTCCGTGACAGGTTGTAGTGCGATGGCCGTCACGAGCCGCGGCGAGCTGGGGGCCCTGGGTGCCCTGGGTGCCCTGGGTGCCCTGGGTGCCCTGGGTGCCCTGGGTGCCCTGGGTGCCCTGGGTGCCTGGCAGTCGAATCACTGGCTCTGGTAACATCTGGTAACGTGCTATGGGCCATGCTATGGGCTAGACACATAGAAACCTCCAAATCATATCAAATTCTACGTTGGATATTTTATATAGATAACACGAGCAACGCAAATATCTGTGGTGCATACTTTGGTACACTCAGACGGATAGGTATGGAAGCACACATTGCTTCCTATCCAGAATGAAGATTGCCGAGATTCTGCACCAATGTACACTTGATATTACTTGATTCCTGACACGTCCAGGATCAGACTCACACTTCACAGGTTGCACAACCAGGATGATCTGTTATCATTTGCTCTTAACCTGTACCTGTCTCTCATCAACAAATTATCAATCTTTACTCCTTTCCATTCCTTTCCCATTTTTCGCAGCAATTTCCAAAATTTTGCATAGCCCACCACAATGTTGACAAATCTCTGCAAAATCTCTGCAATTACAAGTCTCGATTTGTAAGATGAACCATGTCTGGTCTGGGTCAAGCTTCGGTTTTGTGGGTCATCCTACTTTTTCATTGTTCAATCCTCATGTTCCTATGTTTTCCTATGATTTCATGATAATTTACCATGATTTCCCTATGGTTTTCCCATAGTTTCCATGTTTCGCGTTTGTGTCGCCTGCGCCACGACATCTTGCTGTGGACCGCCATGGTGCCTCTGGTGATGTGGGAACTTGTAATGGGTGGCTATGAATCTTTGACCAGCAAATACGGGGATTTCACGATCAAAACGCTACTATTTCTACAGATTGCTTCTTTTTGTTCAATCAAATTTTGTGGAGGTATGGATGTTTTAACTTTAATTAACCAACTATTGGGATTTCTATGGGTTTCCGACCACCTAGACTTGGGTAAAAGACGCAAGGAACAGGGTTGAAACCAGTGGCAGGCGATCTTCGAGATTCTTGGTTTTGTTTTATGATTCGTGTTTAACCACGAAATCATGGAATGAACCACCAAAAGGACCAAAAGTGAGACCTTTGATGAGAGAATCGGATTTAAATAACTCCTGTTCAAAGAACATGTTGAGCCCGGTTGCAATGGTTGAAGCAGCAAATAGTGGCATTTAAGGGTACTGATTTTAACGAGGAAATGGAGATGGTCTGATCTCCTTTGGTGATTTATGGAGATGTTTGCTCCTTTCAGGTGGACTGTGTCAACGATGCAGCACATGTATGTGGTTGCTCTGAATGTTAAAAATAGAAGGGGTTCCAGGGTTCCAGGTAGGACACAAGTAGCAAACTCATCGAGCTGCACTACGGAACATGGCCGTTGCCAAATCCAGAGGATTTTTGTGTTTTCACAGGTGAAAAGCACCACAAAGATCGATTCGAAAGGTCCCCAGATGTAAACAGAACAGTCAACCCATGTCTTGATGATTAACTGATTAACTTATCTTTCCATCTGTCAGGGGACCCCTAAAGAATCCTATGTAAGTCCTATCCAGCCCCAACGGGGGCGAGTCTCACCTCTGCACCACGATCCAACGTGCAGATTTCCCAACTTTCGCGGCCGATGGATTTCCGAACTTCGAGCCAAAATAATGGTCCGGCAACGAAAAATCTGCGGAAACACAACTTCAGGCTCGTTGGTTGCCCTATTCGCGACCATTTTGGGCATAGGTCGTAGTTCCACCCCATCCGCTGCGCAGACTGGCAGAAGTTTTGATCCATCCATCTATCGCGGTAAATCGAGAGCATCGCTCAAGACATTTGCAGGTCAGACTCCAAATTGACATCAGTGCCTTGCATTGCTGGATAGTATGTAGCATTCTGTAGCGATTTACACTAGGAATGTGAAAGTTGAACCACCATCCGATTTCAAAGACTTCCGCGCACAATAGAGGACGCTATTTGGAGTCCAAGAGGCTCATAAGGCTGCCCAAGGTAGCCGCCTCTGAACACCAATTGAATTTAATTTTTGTGACCAACAGATTAAAATCACATCATCTTTGAGCTGGTAAAAGCATGAGATTTCTGAGATCAGCAAGCTGAGACTGCTTGGGCTGCCTGGCACCTGTGAACTCTCAAAAGGGTCCAGGGTACCGATGAAGCATGGCCTTGAGGATCGAAAATCAAGCCACGCACGCAAGAATCGATAGCCCACTGGGCTGAAAACTGGGCAGGTGCTTAGCACGGGCAAGAGGTGGCAAGAGGCTGGGGCGAAACTGTGGCCCGGGTGCTGCAAGCATCAACTAACATCAACTGTGGGGTTATAATTGGGTACTTGTATATGGGATTATGTCCCCATTTATGAAGGTTTAATCGTGGGATACCCAGGGAAATTTCCATCCATTGGTAAATTGGTCGAAATTCCATTCGCACATCTGGCAGCATCACGGACAGCTTTGCCGGTGTCGGCGCTTTCAAGCTAATCCCAAAAGCACCAGGTGGTTGGATTTATGATGTCTTGGATGACTGGTGTTGGATCTTTTCTTTCAGACTCCAGGTCTCAATTGGCGTAGCTTGATGTAGCTTGAAACACATCATCCCCCTGGCCATTGCTCCATGGTCATCTTGAGCCGATCACTGGAGATGGACAGAGGTCCGGACCACCAGGGAGCACGAAGACCGGACCGGTCCCTCACTTTGCCAAGAACTGCCAGGTTGGAATGACCTGGAAACATATCGCGGATGAAAATGGGTGAGGCATAACTATTCCCAAACTCCTGGGTCTTGTGGTTGTCATCCTGAAATTTCTTATGATTCCTTATCATCCTCCACATGGATATTTTTTGCTCCAATCGCCATCTTGTTGCGGAAATAAACCATTGCTTAAGCAAGATAAGAAAGTGTTCCTGGCTGAGCGTGGGATGATCAACTCATTGCTTCAAAAATCTTCACGGTTCCTCACTGGTTCAAACGACATCTGTTGGCAAAGCCCCACTTGTTGAACACCAAATATGTTTTTGTTTCAACCACCTTGTTGATGATTCAATCCGAATTTCTGATGCTTCAATCATGTTCAACCATCATTTGAGGCTTAAGTCCCACTGATGAAAAATCCAACAGTTTAACAGTTTTTAACAGTCAACTCCCCATCCTTATCATCCTTGTTGGGGGCACGAGCTGGTTCCCGAAGCCCCAGCAGGTTCGACCGAGCTGCCGAGTCAGGGTTCAGTGACACGGAGTCGATGCCCTGCTCCATGAGCCACTTCACCAGGTCCGGATGATCCGAGGGACCCTGGCCGCCGATGCCCACGTACCTGGGAGGAGTGGAGCATGTGCCGCATGCCAGGGCAGTGTGTGTGGTGGTGATGTTGACATATTTTGACTATCATGTCATCCTACCAGTAGTACCGCACAAGCCGGTGGCGGAAGTTTCAGAAATAGGAAACCTATAGGAGAGGTTGGCTGTTGTGAATCACGGATGGCAGAGCGAATCCACTGATGGACCGAAAGGTGGTTGGAGTTGTGTTTTTTGGAGTGGTTGCAATGGTTGCAATGGTTGCAGTGGTCACCTCACCGAGAACTGCTGGATTTAGTGTGGTGTAGTGCAGTTGTAGTTGTAGGTGTAGGTGTAGCTGTAGTGTAGTGGAGTTGTAGTTGTAAGTTGCAGCTGTAATGTAGTGTAATTAGTGTAGTGTAGTCGCAGTTGCAGTTGTAATTGTAGTGTGGTGCAATTAGTGTAGTGTATTGTAGTGTGCTGCAGTGTTGTGTACTGGTGTAAAGTAGTGTAGTTGTAGTTGTAGTGTAGTGTCGTGTAATGTAGTGGTAGTTGCAGTTGTAGTGTAATGTAATGTAATTAGTGTAGTGTAGTGTAGTGTTGTGTAATGTAGTGTAGTTGTAGTAGTATTTGTATTTGTAGCTGTAACTTACTGCAGTTTACTTAGCGTATTGTAGTGTAACATAGCGTAGCTGTAAGTGTAATTGTAGCTGTGGTAGTAGTTGTATTAGTAGTTGTAGTAGTAGTTGCTGTTGCTGAAGTAGTAGTAGTAGTAGTAGTAGTAGTAGTAGTAGCAGTAGTAGTAGTAGAAGTAGTAGTAGCAGTAGCAGTAGCAGGAGCAGCAGCAGCAGCAGTAGCAGTAGCAGTAGCAGCAGCAGCAGTAGCAGCAGCAGCAGGAGCAGTAGCAGTAGCAGTAGCAGCAGCAGCAGCAGTAGTAGTAGTAGTAGCAGTAGAAGTAGCAGTATCAGTAGTAGTAGTAGAAGTAGAAGTAGCAGTAGAAGTAGTAGTAGTAGTAGTAGTAGTAGAAGTAGAAGTAGTTGTAGTAGAAGTAGGAGTAGTAGTAGTAGTGGTAGTAGTAGTAGTAGTAGAAGTAGTAGTAGTAGTAGAAGTAGTAGTAGTAGTAGGAGTAGTAGTAGTAGTAGTGGTAGTAGTAGTGGTAGTAGTGGTAGTGTGGAAGTAGTAGTAGTAGTAGTAGTAGTAGTAGTAGTAGTGGTAGTAGTAGTAGTAGTAGGAGTAGGAGTAGGAGTAGTAGTAGTAGTAGTAGTGGCAGTAGTGGCAGTAGTGGCAGTAGTGGTAGTAGTGTTGGTGGTAGTAGTAATAGTAGTAGTAGTAATAGTAGTAGTAGTAGTAGCAGGAGTAGTAGTGGTAGTAGTGGTAGTAGTGGTAGTAGTGGTAGTAGTAGTGGTAGTAGTGGTAGTGTGGAAGTAGTAGTAGTAGTAGTAGGAGTAGGAGTAGGAGTAGTAGTAGTAGTAGTAGCAGCAGCAGTAGCAGTAACAGTAGCAGTAGCAGTAGCAGTAGTAGCAGTAGTAGTAGTAGTAGCAGTAGTAGTAGTAGTAGTAAAAGTAGTAGTAGTACTAGTAGTAGTACTAGTAGTAGTACTACAGTAGTAGTACTACAGTAGTAGTACTACAGTAGTAGTACTACAGTAGTAGACAGTAGTAGTAGTAGCTGCTGTAATAGTTGTAGTAGTTGTGTAATTAGTGTACTGTAGCGTAGTGTAGCGTAATTAGATGTAATTAGTGTAGTTAGCGTCGTGTATTGTAGCGTGGTATATTTGTACTTGTAGTTGTAGTAGGAATAGTTTGTAGTAGTGTAGTGTAGTGGTACTTGCAGGTGTAGTTGCGGTTGTAGTTGTCGATCTGTCTATCTGTCTATCTATCTATCTATCTATCTATCTATCTGTCTATCTGCAAGCTTGAAAACGCAGCTATTCTGCGAGACTTCCTCAGTTTTTGAATTTGACAACATCAAAAACGCAGCAATTCTGCGAGACTTCCTTTTTTAAAACTTGACAACGTCAAAAACGAAACAAGTCTGCGAGACTTCCTCATTTTTCGAAGTTGACAACATCAAAAACGAAAGCAGTTCTGCGAAGAGCTCACGGCCTCGTACCAATGCCTTTTCCGATTTTTCCACTCCATCTGTCTAAAGTACTGCGCCTGCCACGAAAAAGTGATGCCAAGTCATACGAAGTGCTGCACCTGTCACGCAAAATCATCTTCCCAAAACTGAAGATCTGATGCTCCAAAATGCAACCCTTCTCAGGAAATCAGCGCCTTGACCTCCTAACATCTCTGATGAATATGTCTCTTGCACTGCGCCTGCCACGGAAAATGCATCTTTGCAGATCCTGTGCAAATGTCCCACGCCTGCCATCGCTTTGGGACATGCTACAAAACCTTCACGTTTTGCTCAAGGTGCACGATCCCTTGCGCCTGCCACGCGAAACGACATCTGAACGTCCAAAAGTGCTCCGAACCCGTCAGTTTTTTATACTTTTGACTTTGAAATGTGCTTCGCGCCACAGCAGCGTACACTGTTTGAACATCTCAACTTCTAAAAGTGCTCTGGAGCTGAGGTGTTTTGTACATTTTGACTTGGAAATGTGCTTCGCGCCACAACGGCGTGCACTTTTTCGACATCTCAACTTCCAAAAGTGGTCAGAACGTGAGGTGTTTTTAGCTTTTTCAGTTGCAAATGTGCTTCGCGCCACAACGAAGTGCAATTTTTCATGTGGCTCCGCACCACTTTTCGACCCTCTGGAGCCACAAATCATTGGAAAAAACACAGTGTTTCGCGACTTTCCTACCTTTTCGGGCACCTGGATCTTCTTTCTTCTGAGGCTTTCTCTTTTTGATCTTCTTTCTTCTTCTCTTCTCTTCTCTGACTCTTCCCATCTCTACTTTTCATCTGTCCATATTGTCGGAAGTTTGACTTCTAAACTTCCTTTGATCATCACCTATCATCACATCATCCGTGCATCTTGCACATAGGACCTAGTATACAACAATTGCGGTGAACTATCAAGAAATGACGAAGGGTGATCTTGGAAGGCCCCTGCTGAGTCTGGGAACCCACCAACATCTCAGGATCTTGTGAATCTTGTGCCATCATCCACCCATCTGGCCACTTGGGGATCCCCACTTGCCCTTGGCCTTTGCCGCCTTGATCAACGTCTCCAAGCCCTTCATCACTGCAGGGTTTCGCTCATCGAAGTACTGGGCCACCAGCCCTGGCCGGAGTTTCAGAATTTCCTGGGGAAACATATATATGAAACTGTACGGAAACAATTAACAACAAACATTTTGGGAGATGATACAGGAAGTCAACAAAAACCCGCAACTTCACAGCTTCGATCCTTCCGATCTGAGATGTCTAGTTTGGTCTCAGACTTCACGCGGATACAAATGGATCAGGATCTGCAAAATGCGTTTCCCGAGATTTTTTCCTGGAGATAGCCTCCTAGAGTTCCATGTCAAATTCAAGGCGGCGAAATTCACAAGATACCCGTCACTTAACTATCTTAACTGACTGAACATACTGACCCTGAAATTTGAAGATACTCACTCAACTGATCATAGCTCTGAATAAAAATGGCTCATTTTATGCCATCTTTGACCCGGGACCCATCCTTCATGGCTTCCATGGCATTCCGAAGCCCCTAACCGGTCGCCTGAGTCACGGTCCAAGCCCAAGGTGAGCTGCGTGAGGTCGTTGCTCCCAATGGAGAAGCCATCCTCGGCGGAAACGCAACGTTTCCCGGCAATCCCAAGGAATCCTGGATTTTTTTTCTTGATACGAAAATTTCTGGATTTTGATTCATTCATCTTAATTATATAATATTATTATATGGTATCACTCCGGTAGATTATGATATTTATGATAGATTCGAAGTCATGTCACTAAGAGACATATTTGTTATAAGAAATGATCTAAAGTATCTAAAGTGACTAGTGCTGCTTGCACAATGTCATAAATCAGCCCTTAAGGGGATGGTTTACTAGGCAAAATTGGGGATGGTTAAAAGTTGTGTATAGCCGGCAGAGTTGTGAGATACAAGTGGGAACTTCAATCTAGCTGCTGGTCTTGGACATTCGTTGGTGAACTACGTTCAGTTGCAGTGATTCCACTTCCTAGCAGCCCCATCTTTGGTGGTCATTAAGAACCTTTTCAGAAGTTAAATCCTCCTTTTGCTTGGTCAAACCCTAAGTTGGAGTGGTCTCTGAGTAAATGTCATGTCTGCCGAGTCATACCACATTTCTGCTACCTGTTACTATATAATACTATATAAATGAACTCCCGTGACATGCAAAACATATTGGTACAAGTTGGTACTGACAAGATGCAAAGTACTCCAGGAACTCCTCCGCCAAAAACACGTTGCTGGGTAGTTCTGCCATCATGTTCACCTCCAAAACCGGGATGATCGGTGAATCATCACAGTATCACTTGGGTATCAGCAGTATCAAATGGTCAAAAGTTGTTTAGGGATATCACCTCGCCACTAGATTATCTGTCCAATGTTGGCTGTCCAATCAGAATCGAAAAAAGATAGTTGTATATATCGAAACATTACACAGATGTTGACCCATTGTCTGAATATATATATATATATATATATATATCCGCCGACCCCTGCCGACAGGGGGAGCGCGTCAGAGAGCTGTGCCAGACGAAAGCCAGCAAGCTGGCAGCCAGCAGTGCAAGCTCTAAAATCCGGGCGCCGGCCAACGGGCCAGCCCGTGTTCTTGCCGGAGGCCTTCGGTGGTAGCCGAAGGTTATAGGCGCTGCGCACCCTGCCGCCCACCCACCCCATGTTCACCCCGGGCCTACTCCGTGTCAACTGAAGTCCTGTAATTTACAGTGTATTTTAGCTTGCGGTGTTAAAAAAAAATGTTTACAGTGTTTCGGGCCCTTCAACGGCAAGGAATTTCATCTTGGGGATGTTAAAAAACATCGGTTTCTACATGGTTTTGGGCTCCAGGAGGGAGCCCCGGGCGGAAAAAATGGCATCTTAAGATCGTTTCAACATAGATGGCCCAGACATGGCCCCAACATCGCTCCCAAGAGGGCTCAACATGGGCCAACATGGGCCCAACATAGGCCCGACATGGGCCCAAGATGGGCCCAACATAGCCCAACATAGGCCCAACTTGGGCCAACATAGGCCCAAGATGGGCCCAAGATGGCTCAACATGGGCCCGACTTGGCCCAGCATGGGCACAACCTGCGCTCAACATAGGCCCAGACAGCTTCCATACAGGCAAGCACTGCGCATTATGCCTGCCTCAGTTCTTAACATAGCCCTCCCTGGGTTTGCGCGGAGAATCTCGGCCCAATCTTCCCACACCATACGCCAAACGTCGTTGCTTGGCCGGCCCCCGGCTGTCAGGCGTAAGCCTTTAAATTATATTATAGGCATTACTGTATATGCATCAGGCCAATAGAAAAACCCTCCGGCCTTGAGCCCATCTTCACCTCGCTTCAGACCGTTCTTCTCCTGAAGGCTTTGCACAGGTGGAAAAATGAACAATGAATTATAGTCATACAACAATTGAATTAAATTTTACTGATCTAAAATCAATCATCAAATCCGCAAAATCGTGGTTTCTTGTAACCCCCGCAGCATTTGGCCGTCTGTTTTCAAGCCTTGAAACCAGCGTGCGGTTCACCAGCCGAGACGCCAGCACTTCATTGACGTCCTTGGCCATCTCCAGGGTGCGGACGAAGGGAATCATGATCTCCACATTCTTCAGACCCATCTCTCCACGGACCATCTTCACAGCCTGATGCTCTGATCAACGAACTTTTGGGGGTCAACTTGGGGTTAGCCATGGAATCCGATGGAACATGGTGGAACTGTATTTTGGGGGTGGGTACATGAGATTGCCCACAAGAATTAGATGGAAAAACATGGGAAAACATGGAAAAACAACAAACCCTCCAAGGCCTTTCAGGCGCATCGAAGTAACGATTTCTTTTCGGAATTCCCAAGCTTTGACCATCCAACAAAACCTGGCCCTTTCTGAAATTAAAGTTGGAACAATCTTTCCCACAGAGAGGGGGTAGGAGAACTAAGAGCTAAATAACTTCGGAGACAGTTGCCCCTCTCAGATCCTTTCAGATCCTTTCAGTATGTTTCAGTGGTGGCACAAGTAAAAAGGATTTTTATGAAATGTTTCAGATGCTGTTTGTCACCTGAAGTGAATTATATAGTTGGTCGAATTGCATGTCACCAAGTCTTCGGATGGATTCATTTTGCTCGGAAACTTTGGCAGAAACCGGTGAGGGACCAGCGCAGTTTCCTCAGACTCAGAAGCAGGTGGCTTGGCCAACTGCCGTGCTGAATCAACTAGAATCTCAGTATAAAAAGTTAAAGTCGGTAACTTTTTCATCACCTACTTTTCCATTTCAGTGGTGGCACAGGTAAATCAAATGAGGATTTGCACATGCCCTGTCCGCGCGTAAGCTGAACTGAGTTTGCTGGTCGAATTGCCAGTCTGCGCCACCAAGTCAACAGATTGCTTCATTTTGCTGTGAAACTGTGGCAGAAACCGGTAAGGGACCAACCCAGTCTCCTCCCAGAAGTGGCTTGGCCAACTGCCCTGGATCAACGCTGGACCAATTAGAATCCAAAGCGGATAAGTCAACACATCACCTACTGAAGCCACCGGAAGATGTCCACTTCGACTTCTGTGTAGGCATAGCCCTTCCGTTCAAGCCATGCTACTTCGGCCTTCTGTGAATTCCCAAGACCTTCAGATACCTCCATGAAGTCGCGTTCTTCCTCTGGAAGCCACGCCAAAAAGAGCCGTTGCACCTCGCGCGAGTACTGTGAGGAAGAGTCTCCACGTGGGTCTTTCGAAAGGCCTTCAATCCCTTCGTCGCATGCGTTGGAAAATGCTTGCGACTGGAAGAAGTCCCGTTTCTTGGCTTGAATGGCTTCTCGTCTCAAGTGCTCCTTACCAGCCGTTGAGAAATCCACAACTTTCCCTCTACCCTTCATGCCCTTGAAGAAATACACCTGCATTTCCGCGCCTTCCTCATGCGCTCTTTCGATGTTTGCTATCCACTTTGTCCACCAACGGCAACCCCACGGCTTTCGCTCCCCATAAAGGGGAATGCACCAGCACCTCCCCTCTAGCTTTTCCTTTTCGGGAATTGTGTCGTGGCTGCCGAAATCCTTTGAACCCTCGGGCAGGAAGACCACTGCTGCACTGATGTCGCCACTGCGGCTACCTGTGACCAGGGCGTCCCAAGCAGACTGATATTTGCCTGGCCATGAGCACACACATTTGCCGGTGCCTGGAAGAACTTCGCCTAGAAACACAATGGTGCGCTGGGCAACTGCCTGCTCGTCCATCCTCTCAAAGGTCATGATAGCCTTCTCGGAGGAGGCGAACAACGACAACACACACACCAAAGTAGACATGCAACAGCACGGCAGTCCAGCTGCCAGCACGGTCCACCAGAATCCAGCCATCAAATACCTCACGATGGCTATGATCACCGTAAGGCCGCCCAGGACCAAACAGGCGAAGCTTCCATAACGCGCCAACTTTTTCTGTCGTGGACCTGAACAGCTGAGACCAAAAGTCTGAGCACTGAAGCTGCTGATGCACAGGCCAGCCAGCGACAGCACCACTCCCAAGCACAGCAGCACTGGGGAGTCCTCGTAGTCTTCGGGGTCCAAACACGTCCATAGCACCAGCAGGCCTAAGAACAATGCTGCGCAGGAGAACAACAAGGGGATAACAAAAGACAGAATAGACAGACGCGCCCGGGTTTCTTTTTCCAGTTCCCATGTCATTCTCTTTTTCCGGTTCCGCAGCAGGGACTTCTCTCGATCAACCTCCTCCTGCTCCTTTTGCAAGAAACTAGCGACCTGAACGCCGAAAGACCCGAAACTCTCCGATGCAGGAAGCGTCGAGCTGTCTTCGACGCGCCGAGTCCCAAAGATGCTGGGGTCATCCCTGCAGTGAACTTTCATCAGCTTGTCAGATGCTCGGGTGATGTCGAAGCCGCAACTTTTCTGCGGGTAGAGAACCTTCATCTCTTGGTCCAACGTCACCTCAATGGCTGCTCCCAAGTTGTTCTCAAGCACAACAATGCCATCGCCAGCCAACTTCACCTCAATGGCTCCTCCCAGGTCGTTCTCAAGCTCCACCATTTCATTGTGAGGGCCATCTGGCTCTTCGGCATCTGGGATCACAACTACTTCCATGGCGTCAGTGGAAAGAACCGATGCTGTCTTGCCCAGCGGCAATGTAGTACTGACAAAACATGAGCTAGTCCATTCAACTTATCCAGATTTCATTTCCACTTTCTATGCCTGCAACAAATCCATGCTGGGACCGCCCTGGAGATGATTGAGCCTCAATAAATTTTACATGGCTTTGTCTGAACAAGGGGTACTCCCATGCCAATGGAATGCCAATGGATTATAAACTATTATAAATAATTCGTGATTTTTCCAACCAAATGGCCATTTGGGTCGTTTGGGGATGGCACAACAGCAATAAACATCGGTTAACCACTCACTTCCAACACCAAAAATCAACTCACTTCCAACATCGACTCACTCCCAACACCAAGAGCTCACTCCCAACACCAAAAAACAACTCACTTCCAACACAAAAAGCACTTTTCGGCGTCGAGGGCGAGTCGGCTTTCCGTTTCCCCAATGGTACTGAGGCGTCACTTCTGGAACCCCATCATAAACAAACATTACAGGGAAAATGATCAACACTGAGAAACCCTTCAAAGGGATTCAACCCTTTAGGTTGGGGGTGGGGAAACATCAGGGTACCATACAGGGGGAATGATCAACACTGAGAAAACCTTCAAGGGGATTCAACCCTTTAGGTTGGGTGGGGGGGGAACCATCAGGGTACCATACAGGCGGAATGATCAACACTGATAAACCCTTCAAGGGGATTCAACCCTTTAGGTTGGGTGGGGGGGGTACCATCAGGGTACCATACAGGCGGATAGATCAACACTGATAAACCCTTCAAGGGGATTCAACCCTTTAGGTTGGGTGGGGGGTAACCATCAGGGTACCATACAGGCGGAATGATCAACACTGATAAACCCTTCAAGGGGATTCAACCCTTTAGGTTGGGTGGGGGGGGAACCATCAGGGTACCATACATGTCGTTGTCGTTGTCGTTGTCGTTGTCGTTGTCGTTGTGGTTGTGGTTGTGGTTGTGGTTGTGGTTGTTGTTGTGGTGGTGGTTGTGGTTGTGGTTGTGGTTGTGGTTGTGGTTGTTGTTGTTGTTGTTGTTGCTGTTGTTGTTGTTGATGATGTTGTTGTTGTTGTTGTTGTTGTTGTTGTTGTTTTTGCTGTTGTTGTTTTTGTTTTTGTTTTTGTTGTCGTTGTTGTTGTTGTTGATGATGTTCCTGTTGGCGTTGATGTTGATGTGAATGTTGATGATGTTGTTGTGGTTGTTAATGTTTTTGTGTTGTCGATGTTGAGACTGCTGTTGATTTTGTTCTTGTTGTTGATGTTGTGCATGTTGTCGATGTAAGTAAAGAGGCGTCGGGAGCGAGTATGTTTCCGGCGTTGAAAGCGAGTTGATTTTCGGCGTCGGGAGCGAGTGTCCGACCATAAACATCAAAAAACCCTTCCTGCCACGCCTTCAGTTCCATTGCGAAGCACTCCTTGAAGAAGCCGCGGGAACCGATCATGGGATTCTGCTGGGCTCATGCTGCTCGCCACCGATCAGACTCTTGTACCTAGAACCATCAGAAAAGCCATGCAACAAAAACTGATGGCTGGTCTGCTCTGATGGCTGGCCTGCTATTAAGATAATCAAATCATGTCAAATCTTCACTTGTTTGGATTGGTTTGATGTTTGACTATATGACTATATCTTAACAAACAAAAAGTTGGGAGATCAAACCCGGCATTTGGAATCCACAAGTAATATCAATTAACCACAATCAGCCTGACAATCGGCCTGACAATCAGCCTGACAACCAGCCTGACAATCAGCCATAAATTACCCATGTCTTCTCCCTTTGTAGCATCCTCCGAGCCAATAGTTCCCAGCATTTCCTGATCTTTGCCAGGCTACTCATTGGACTTGAAGTCGGACAATTGCACGCTGCGCTTGGGATACACCGAAGCTGCCAGGGTGGCCACATGGAAGGGTGTCATCAATGAAATGGTGGTAGCAACATGCTATGGGCTATACTCAGAACAGAAACTTCGCGCAAATATACGAAATTATACAGTGGATATGATTGGAGAATGTCTGTTCCTTTCATTTCCTTTCCCATCTTTCTCAGTGATTTCCCAATTTTGCAAAGGCCCCACAATGTTGACAAATCTCTGCAATAGTCTCAATTTGCCGAGATGAATCACTGAATCATGCCTGGTCTCCCAATCTTTTCCGGTCTCCGGAGATTCGGTGCTCATATTGTCGCAGTTTTCCCAAGATTTTCCCAAGATTTTCCCAGGATGTTTTTGAACAGTCGGCACCGGCAACGCGAGTGCGGCTGAGCGGCGCAACATGGCACAACATCTTGCTGTTGACCGCCTGCCCTTGGTGGCTAAATGTGGGAAACTCTTCATGGATTTGTTACCGTAGTGAATTTATGATGGATGTTTTGCATTTGTAACCAGCAAATACTGGGATTTACCGGAAATGCTAGGATTTCTAGGGATCGCTTGAATTTGTTCAATCAAAATTTATGGATTTTTATGGATTGTTAATTAGCGTTGTTCAACCTAAAATACAAGGATTTCTATTGATGTTTTTAAGCAACTAGGATTGCGGGTAAAAGACCCAGCACGGAACAGGGTTGAAACCAGTGGCAGTTCAACCAGCAAATCGTGGAATGGACCACCAAAATTGTGGCCTTTGACCAGAAAAGAAGTGGATGTATGTAGCTCCCGTTGCGAAAACAAGTTGCAATGGTTGAAGCAGCAAATAGTGGCATTCAAGGGTACTGCTTTTAACGAGGAAATGGAGATGTGTTGATATCCTTTGGTGATTTATGGAGATGTTTCTTAATTTCAGGTGGACTGTGTCAATGATGCAACACATGTATTTGGTTGCTCTGAATGTTAAATAGAAGGGTTCCAGGCTTCCAGGTAGGACACAAGTAGCAAACTCATCGGGCTACACTACGGAACAGGGCCGTAGATTATGATCTTTATGAAACATTGGAAGACATGTCACTAGGATACATATGTGCTATAAATCTATAAGAAATGACCGAAAATGACTAGCACTGCCACAATGTCATAAATCAGCCCTTAAGGGGATGGTTTATGCTAAAATCGGCAAAATTGGGGATGGTTACGAATTGTGTATAGCCGGCAGAGTTGCGAGATACAAGGGGATCTTCAAACTTGCTGCTGGTCTTGGACATGCGTTAGCGAAATACGTACTTACAGTGATTCCACTTCCTAGCAAAGCCTCTCATCCACGACAGCAAAGTCATAAAATCGTCCAAAGCCTACTGGTTGGATTCCCATCTTTGGTGGTCATTATGAACCTTTTCAGAAGTTAAATCCTCACTTGGTCAAACCCTAAGTTGGAGTGGTCTCTGAGTAAATGTCATGTCTGCCGAGTCATACCACGTTTCTGCTCCTCGTTAATCTTGTTACACACACACATATATATAATTATATATATATATACATTAAATGAACTCCCGTGACATGCAAAAAAACTTGGTACAAGTTGGTACTGCCAAGATGCGAAGTACTCCAGGAACTCCTCCGCCAAAAAAACGTTGCTGGGCAGCTCTGCCATCATGTTCACCTCCGCTGGGATGATCGGTGACTCATCACGGTATCACTAGGGCATCAGCACTATGAAATGGCCAAATATTGTTTAGGGATATCGCCTCGCCACCAGATTGTCTGTCCCATGTTGACTGTCCCAGTGTTCTTACAAGATAGTTGTGTAATAATGTATAATATAGATAATTTATATGTGATATAGACAGATGATGACTGTGGGTAATTTATATTGATGCGTCCCCTAGAAAAAACAACGCCCGTTTCTGACTTCAACACCTTTCGGAATTAAAAAACTCGGCCTTGAGCCCATCTTCACCTTGCTTCAGACCGTTCTTCTCCTGAAGGCTTTGCACATGTGGAAAAATGAATCAAATCAACAAACAGTGAATTATACAGTAGTCAGTAGCAATTGAATGAAATTAAACGATCCAAATTCAACCATCAAATCCGCAAAATCGTGGTTTCTTGTGACCCCCGCGGCATTTGGCCGTCCTTCAAGCCTTGAAACCAGCTCGTTCGCCGAGACGCCAGCACTTCATTGACGTCCTTGGCCATCTCCAGGGTGCGGACGAAGGGAATCATTTCCACATTCTTCAGACCCTCCACGGACCATCTTCACAGCCTGATGCTCTGTGGGGTATCAACTTGGAACGGGGTTAGCCATGGAATCCGATGGAACATGGTGGAACTATATTTCGGGGGTGATTACAAAAGATTACGCACAAGAATTTGATGGAAAAACATAGAAAAACATGAAAACACGACAAACCCTTCAAGGCCTTTCAGGCGCTTCGAAGAAACGATTTCTTTTCGGATTTCCCAAGCTTTGACCATCCAACAAAACCTGGCCCTTTCTGAAATTAAAGATGGAACAATCTTTCCCACAGAAAGGGGGTATAGGAGAACTAAGAGCAAAATAACTGCGGAGACAGTTGCCCCTTTCAGATCCTTTCAGTATCTTTCAGTGGTGGCACAAGCAAAAAGGATTTTTTATGACATATCTCAGATGCTGTTTGTCACCTGAAGTGAATCAGTTTGCATGTCGAATTCATTTTGCTCGGAAACTTTGGCAGAAACTGGTGAGGGACCAGCGCAGTTTCCTCAGACTCAGAAGCAGGTGGCTTGGCCAGCTGCGGTGCTGAATCAACTGGTAACTTTTTCATCACCGACATTTCCATTTCAGTGGTGGCACAGGTAAATCAAATGAGCATTTGCACATGCCCTGTCCGGGCGTCAGCTGAACTGAGTTTGTTGGTCGAATTGCCAGCCTGTGCCACCAAGTCATCGGATTGATTCATTTTGCTGTGAAACTTTGGCAGAAACGGGTAAGGGACCAACGCAGTCTCCTCCCAGAAGTGGCTTGGCCAACTGCCCCGGATCAATGCTGGACCAAATAATTAGAATCCAAAGCGGGAAAGTCAACTACATCACCTACTGAAGCCACTGGGAGATGTCCACTTCGACTTCAGTGTACGCATAGCCCTTCCGTTCAAGCCATGCTACTTCGGCCTTCTGTGAATTCCCCAGACCTTCAGATGCCTCCATGAAGTGGCGTTCTTCCTCTGGAAGCCACGCCAAAAAGAGCCGTTGCACCTCGCGCGAGTACGGAGAGGAAGAGTCTCCACGTGGGTCTTTCGAAAGGCCTTCAATCCCTTCGTCGCATGCGTTGGAGAATGCTTGCGACTGGAAGAACTCCTGTTTCTTGGCTTGAATGGCTTCTCGTCTCAAGTGCTCTTCACCAGCCGTTGAGAAATCCTGAACTTTCCCTCTGCCCTTCATGCCTTTGAAGAAGTAAACCTCCATTTGCGCGCCTTCTCTGTGCGCACTTTCGATGTTTGCAATCCACTTTGTCCACCAACGGCAACCCCACGGCTTCTTCTCCCCATAAAGGGGAACACACCAGCAGCTCCCCTCTAGCTTTTCCTCTTCGGGAATTGTGTCGTGGCTGCCGAAATCCTTTGAACCCTCGGGCAGGAAGACCACCGCCGCGCTGAGCGGCTACCTGTGACCAGGGCGTCCCAAGCACACTCGTATTTGCCTGGCCACGAGCAAACATTTGCTGGTGCCTGGAAGAACTTCGCCGTGAAACACTATGGTCCGCTGGGCAACTGCCTGCTTCTCCCTCCTCTCTTCTCGTGTGATAATTTTCTCGAAGGAGTCACCACATGAAAAACACATGAAAGTAGACATCATGCAACAGCACGGCAGCCCAGCTGCCAGCACGGTCCACCAGAATCCAGCCATCACATACCTAACGATGGCTATGGTCACAGTAATGGAGCCCAGGAAGAAACAGCCGTAGCCTGCACAAGCTGCCAGCACTTTCCGTCGTGGACCTTGACATCTGGAACCAGCAGTCCGAGTAATCAAGCTGCAAATGCACAGGGCAGCCAGCGACAGCACCAGTGCCAAGCACAGCTCCGCTGCGGAGTCCGCGTCTTCGGGGTCCAAACACGTCCATAGCACCAGGAAGCCCAAGGACAGCGCTGTCCAGGAGAAATAAGAGGGGATTTGAATAGACAGACGCCTCAGGCGTTCTTTTTCAAGTTCCTCTTCCATCTTCCTTTTCCGTTCCTGCAGCAAGGACTTCTCTCGCTCCACCTCCTGCTGCTCCTTTTGCAAGAAATCTGCGACCTGAACGCCGAAAGACCCGAAACTCTCCGTTGCACCAAGGGTCAAGCCGTCTTCGACGCGCCGAGTCCCAAAAATGCTGGGGTCATCCCTGTAGCGAACCTTCATCAGCTTGTCAGATGCTCGGGTGATGCCGAAGATCCAACGTTTCCGTGGGTAGAGCACCTTTACCTCTTGGTCCAACGTCACCTCAATGGCTGCTCCCAAGTTGTTCTCAAGCACCACGATGCCATCTTCAGGGCCATCTGGCTCTTTGGCATCTGGAATTCCAGGTAATTCCATGGCGTTGTGGAGGAACTGATGCTGCTTTGCCCAGGCGGCAATGTAGTGACAAAAAATTAGCTAGTGTATTAAAAATTCTTTTCATTTTCCAATTCTCTCCAATCTGTGTGTCCTTTAGCATGTGGTACTCAGTGTGTGTGTGACCTAAACCCAAGAACCAGAAAGGGCGGCTGGAAATCTGACCTTTTTTCTGGCACAAGTCCTTGCATGGACCATGCTGAATTTAAAGAAAACCCCTTGGAGTCACCTGGGTTGGAGTTCAGATGATTCAGCCTCAACGGAGAGAACGCCCCAATTTCAGACACAGCATGCCACGACATGAGGTCAGCTCAACGGAACCGTCCCTGCCCCACCTCCAATTCTGTGGCGAAGAAGGCATCCGTCCACAGCGGAAACCGATCATGGGCTTCTCGTCTTCGGGTTCATTTCTCTCGCCACCAGGCTCTTGTACCTAGAACCATCAGAAAAGCATGAAAAACACATCAAACATGGTTTAGAAAGATTGATGGTTGTTGGCCTGCTGTTGAGATAGTCAATTTTTGGCATTTGTGTACATGTGTTCCATTCTTGACTTTCTTGAGAGAAAAAATGTTGGGATATATCAAACTTGGTTTTTGGAGTCCATAATCAACATCAATTCACCATCAGCCATAACTCATGCCTTCTCCATTTGTTGCATCCACCCACCCCAAGTGTTTTGGGGAGTTCCCGATATTTCCTGATCTTTGCCAGGCCGCTCCGTCACATGTTGTGGTGCGCTGGCCGTCACGATCCGCGCCGAGCTGGGTGCCCTGGGTGCCCTGGGTGCCCTGGGTGCCCTGGGTGCCCTGGGTGCCTGGCAGTCGAATCACTGGCTCTGGTAACATCTGGTAACATGCTATGGGCCATGCTATGGGCCATGCTATGGGCCATGCTATGGGCTAGGCACATAGAAACCTCGCATACAAATCATATCAATTTCTACGCTGGATATGATTATATAGATAACAGGAGCAATGCAAATATCTGTGGTGTATACTTTGGTACATTCAGACGGATAGGTATGGAAGTACACATTACTTCTTATCCAGAATGAAGATTGCCGAGATTCTGCATTAATGTACACTTGATATTACTTGATACCTGACACGTTCAGGATCAGACTCACACTTCACAGGTTACACAGCCAGGATGATCTGCTATTCACTGTTCGCAATTTAGGGTGTAGATCCGTTAGGTTTAGATCCACTACCTTTCAAATCTCAAAAAATCCCAAAAAAGTCCCAGAAGTTCATTTTTTTTTGTGGTATCACCAAGAGGCAGTAATGAAGCAAAAGAAACTGCGGGCATGAACGGTTTTTGCAATGCGATTTTTGCGGGATAAGCCGTTGACTGAAACAATGGCAACGAATCTAATGACAAGTAATCCCTGTCAGTTGAAACTGACGATTGGGGGTTCTGAACGTAGCAGCAGGCATGGCCTCGTCTCAATTGACACTGAGCTTAAGCCCATGCAACAATAGACACCGGCAACAGAAATGCCAAGTAATGACAACTTTCGCACCTGTATATGCAAGCACATCACCCCTTTAGACACTTGTCGGCCCATTGCGAAACATTTTGAAACTTTTTTGAGACTCTCTCTCATTAACAAATTACCAATGTTTGTTCCTTTCCCATCTTTCTCAGCGATTTCCCAAATTTCTATGTTAAAAAAGGGATATGTTTTTTAAGAAAAATGAAGTGAGATTTAGCAATAACTCTAAACAGCTCAGAGCGGCTCAGAACTATTTCTAAAAGGGCGGTTAGTAATAGCTCTGGGCGGCCCAGAGCGATTTAGAGTTATTTATCCTCAAAGGAACAATTTTTACCATATAGCTCAGAGCGGCTCAGGGCCACAGCGGTTTTTAATTTTGGAAATCTTATAAATAGATCTAAATAGTTCAGAGCGGGTCAGAGCTATTTCCAAAATGGCCAACTCGAAATATTTTTTTAAAAGGTTTTCAAATCATACCAAGAAAAAGGGCAAGCACGCATGCTAGCAAATTCTGATTTGCTTAAGTTACTGAAACAATTAATATACAAACACGGGCGCGGATCATTCCATGACTCTACCTGCCACCTGCCACGAACGAAAGACCCAACTGGAGCACAAAAAAGAACAACAAACCAAGGGACGGGTTTTGTAGATGGCGGCTTTTCATTTTTGAGGACATGTAAGATGTGCTGCCAGGGATGTTTCTAGAGAGCTAAGGCTATGGCTATGGACATTGCCTTTTGCGATATCATTTTTTAGCATGGGCTGGAGACCCTTGTTACAACCCAATCACCCACAATGGGCGCATAGGACAAGTTCAAGGCCTCCTGCTCTCAACTCCCTCTTGTTCAGGCCAATGCCCTCCAAAGGCCCCACTCTGCTGAAAGGGCGGGGGGGGGCTGTGGAAATTCAAGGGGAAATGTTTAGAAATCGTTCGGGGAATTTTGGAAATAGCTCTGGGAATTTTAGAAGTAGCTCTGGGGATTTTAGAAATAGCTCCTGGAGTTTAGAAATAGCGCCAAATCGCTCCAAATAGCTCTGCGCCTGCTTGTCTGCAGAAAAAAACGCCTGAACTCTCTGAAAATCAGCCGTGCTCTTGCCCGGATGACTTTAACTAAAAAATATGGGGCCAGGGGTGCCACATGTTGGCTGG